TATCCCATACTAAACAGTCACTTTTTAAGGTCTGATATCTCAACCATCATTAGCTATATTATAATAATATACTTATAGAAGCTGTATATAGGCTTTCAGAACATGTTTTTCTACTTTATATAACTATAACTTATTTTAAGTGCTTGTAATATTAGTATAAAATAAATTACTAAAAAATACAATGTAATATATATTACCTCAAGATATATAAACTTATATCCTTTAAAATCTAAATACTGATATTAAATCTTACTTTAATATATTGTTGTATAAATATGAGTCACTTTAGATAAGGTGTGGTTGAGATACTGGACCTAAAATAGTGACTGTTTAATATGGGATACGGAGGTGGCCCGCTCACCAGTGAAATACGTTATGTAACGACGACTGAACTTTACACATTTTTATCCCGCACTGTCTCTTTCAAACCACTTACCAACTAATTAATACTACCTAGTCATGGCTGCTGGATCTAGAAATTAAGGAATAGATATGTAACTAGAGATAGTATCTTCTATCTATATAAGATCAGCAGTAGTTACCTTGACTAAAAGTGGTATTCAAGACTATGTAGTATATAAAATATATATAATAACGGGTCTAAAAGTAGTTTAGAAGTAGTTATGAAGCACTTATAAACTACTTACGTTCCTGTAATTGTATCTTTCTCTCCATAAGATCCAGTTCTAGCTTCTTATTTTAAAGCTGTTATAGGTGGATTTCTTCTTCTTGCTTTTTAAGATTTACTAATCATTATTGTTGCCCATTGAAAGGTCCTGAGAGTGCAGAGTATCCATGATTTTAAGTACTTAGTAACTGATTTTTAACTGCTTAGTACTATTGTGGCGCCACACCTTCTGCAGTAGCAGATGTATCACCAGTTTTGCGATCTACCTGTCCGCCGCCCAATCCACGTCTACACCTACGGACCACCAGCCGTGCTGCCCCCCTTTGTCCGACTCGCCACGCGCGGCCTCATCAAAACCATCGTCAATGGGTCCGACCAAATTGACGCAATTGGTTCGTTTGGTTGGCGTTTCTGGGGTAAAAGAGGCTAAGTTTATACCGAGGTTTAGAAAAATAGGCTAGCTCTAGATGCTAGACTAGGATAGTGGCTGCCTGGTTGGATTTGCCGAATTTGCACCGAATTTGGCTTTGTATCCATAGATGTGCTAACTAAGGGATTTTTGAACAATGAGATATTTTGTTTCAAGACCGGGGGGCTTGACGCATTAGACAAGACGCATTAGACAGCAAGGCCAACTACGATTGTATCTTTCTCTCCATTATACATTTCACATCCAATTGTCTTTTCGCCGTCCCCAATCTTGCCAATTGCAGGAAGGCTGTCCAAATGCTCGTGTTGCTACCCTGCCCCCAATTGACCAGTTTGCTCATAGGTCTAATTGTCAGGCTTCGATACTAGGACAAGGCCGCGGCCAAGGTCCGCGAAAGGCCAAGCCATTGGGTTGCACCCTCACTCTAAGAAACCCCGAGATTCTTCCACAGCTAATTGAATGGTTTTAAGCTGGTCGGACTTTCGGCCTTCATTCTTTCACGCTAAGTTCGGGATTCTCCCAAACAACATTACAGGCACGCACGTCTAACTACTTCATTAGACTACTTAGGTCGCCGAAGGGTTTGATAACATCTAGTCTTAGAAAAGACGATCGTAAACCAACGAAAAGGCCCCCAAATATTGCTTTCTTTGCGCTTCCTAGACTCTTGGGTTTGCCTCTTCTCCGCCTCCAGGACCCCGAGATGGATCTATCGGGTCGATCCGAATAGTGACCCCTTGAACGACGCATTACGCACACCCATGGGAAGTTCTGCTTTGCCTACGACAGCAATCTGCCGATTAGAAGTCACGCTGGAGGTGACCACGAGGCTGTACACCGGCTTCAATGTTACTGTTGAGCATACGATCTTCGAACCCTGCAATGAAGTCCGGGCAATGAATCAACACGCAACACTGCCCGGTGATCAAGTTCTATAAGGTCAATAGGTTGCATGACATCATTTGGACATATTCGTCCACAGACTTACTATAACAATAGATATCCATACTCAAATGTTCTCCAGATTACCGACTTCGTTGATGATTAAGAGTAATAAGAGACTAATATACCAGGTGTTTGTCCCACAACGTGACTTGGCTTGGCAAAACACTATAAGGTGGCCGTTTCCCTGTGACGGTGCTGGCCCTCTCACTGGTCAGTTCAGGACCTTCTGGTATATAGACTTCTGGCTGGCTTCCCCCCGTCCTTCTCCCTGTCCTCCCACCTCTGGTCAGCGTCTGTCCTACATACAGTGTTATACAGGCACCATCCTGGACCGTGTCCCGTATCCCCATGTCTGCCGGCTGCCGGGATGATTGGTTGATTTTGCTTGGGGGGACACTTACGAGAAAAAAGAGGAGAAAAAGAAGGGGAAGGGAAGAAGGAGAGAAGGGAAAGAGGAGAGAGGAGAAAGGAAAGAGTGTGTGTAGAATAAACATGCATTCTGCGCACAGCTCCTCCTCCCCCACTGTCTAGTATATTGCGATCTGTGTATAATTATATAATATAATAAAATCCCTGTGTGACGGTCGGTCCGCTCCTATTGACTGCCTTAACATGGTCTTCTTCTTGAGCTGTTCTATAAAACTCCCCATAACGTGAGATATCTATATTAAACATCACTGGATGCCCCATTCGGCTTCTCTTCCCCGTATGTCCATCTGCTCTGGCTGCTTGCGTCTATGGGAGCATGTTCGGTACAGGACCTGTGGAATCTGCCGACAGCCTCGACCCCAAACAACCCCCGTTGCTCTCACACCAGTCCAGTGTCAACGTCCGCTGAATATTCCGATACCAGAGACTCAACCAATGCTTCCTTGGCAGATAACCATGCGCCTGCCGGATACTGTCTCTCTGCCAGTCGGTCGCTGCGGGAGTACCACAGCTGCCGTTGATTGAGTCAGTCCGGCAGGTTATTTGCTCACAGTGTGAACAACCCTGGCTGTCAGCAGCAGCACATCAGATATGCTATTGCTGCCGTGCCAGAGCCGCTGTTGTTACAAGAGATCCATCCCGCACAATACCCAGACTGAATCTCAGTTGGTGGGATCAGCTGGCAGCCATGGCTGTAACTCCTTTTCCCAGGGCTGGTTTAGGATCTGCCCTTCTGTAGTACTACTCTTTTATTTACAGAGTAAGATAGCTGGTACTGCAGCCAGGGGCATTATCATTTACTGTATCTACTATTCTCTGATAATCTTTTAAACTCACTCCTGTAGCGGTATAAAGATCAGCTCTCTTGTATAAGTTATTAAAGTAATAATCTCTTTGCTTTTTCTGTAACTAGATCCATCGGCTGCTTTGTACTGTTTCAGGAACTTGCAAATATTGTCCTGGAGGACCGTGTCTATCACCGCCTGTTAGATATGACGAATAAGGACTATGGTATATACTAGTTCTATATAATAAGGCAGCGTGGGCCGAGCGGGCCTTGAAGTAGTCTATTATATAAGATATTATAAATACTGTGTAGCAGTATCTAGAATATGTTAATCTATTTATTTACTCTCTGTGCCATGCTGTGAATTAGGTGAGGGCTAAGGCTATATCGCTCAAGCACTGAATAGTGTAATAGTCTATACTTCTACCTGGATAGAGACAGACGGCATCCCCTTCTATCTATAGGTAGCTGAAGCAGGTCCCTACCACCAGAAGACCAGGTCAGGGTAGTGCCACGCACTTCTTCCACTCTTTTCCAGTATATATTGTTCTGATTTGTTACTTCAAGCATATATTTAGCTAGTTCCTAGCGGGATTTTATTTAGGTAGCACGTCCGGTTGCCCCTAGGGAGGCCGCGTGATCCGCCGAGTGACGTTAAATAGTAACCAAACCAAACCAAACCAAAGCCTGAAGACTTTTTGAACCATTAGATAGAGAAACAAAAAGACAACAAGTGATAAACGGTTGTCCACGGAATAGAGAGCCTATCGAGATGTCATCCGCTCCTCAGTAGGCTTTGGCATATCACGTCATATCGCGAGTTATATCTCCCTATAGGTGTCGCCGATTTTCTCGAACTATGAGCCAAAGGGCAAAGCCAGCTTTCTCATGCACTGGATCAAAAGCAATACCATATTGAAAGTCTGTAAGGTGTACGAACTCACACCCATTCGCATGTGCCGATCTGCGACCACTTACGCCTAGTTTTATATATATTCTGGCGTCTTTAGTTTATACTTTTTGAGTTCCTGCAAGACCTCAAAATAGTACTTAACAGAAGAAACCTTCGGAAGGTAGGTATATCTTGCAGTGCTCATAGTGTCAAACTTGTGTGGCAAGACCCTTTCCTCATTCCTGCCTGACCTACAACACCGATGCATATCAGCATAAACAGCCTTCAACTTCTCTTACGTGCTACTATCACTACTTCTATAATTTGCGGCAGATAGAGCTTGACTTTCCTTTTTTTTCCCCCTGGATTGAAGTAAACACAGTCCAAATTCACTAAGTCAGCGTTATCGGTAGAGAGATCCATCCCACCTAAGTTGGCCTCGAGCCGAATTGCCTGTAGCTATATTGGATATATGCAGCTGCACGGCTCGCGCGGAGCATCTTTCCGTAATAGATAAATAACAAATTACCCATGAGGCAAGCAGTGACAATCAAGCCAAACGTCACATAGAACCATGTCAATCCCACCTTATTGTACCAGGGTTGAAGGGCGAAGACAAAAATTGTTGAGATGAGATTGCGGATGAAAGTGACAGCAACGAGTGAGTCAGCGATGATCTAATATAGGTATGGAGCGTTAGCAGGTCTTCCATAAATCCGATCAAGCGTATCCCCACCTCAGTGTACGAGTCAGTAAGATACGTCAGTGCAGCACTACTAGCCGGCAAACTACCCACAGATGTGACACCCAAGCCAAACGCCGGCAGAAGCCAGTGAGAGCCGTTGTTTAGCCCAATACCAAATATGAATAGGCCTGCCGGGACTAACGGGGTAAAGGCGAGAGCCAACCAAAGTCGCATCTCTGGCTCGAAGACACCGCCGTTTCTCTTCGCGAGGAAGAGAGCAATCCAGTCACTTAGAGGTCCAGAAATTAGAGCTCCTAAGGCAGTTCCAATGAATAGGGGCAGTCCCATCAACCCAATCTGGGATGCATTGAAACTGTACGGCGGCAGCGTCATCACTGATGAAAGTGTTGTCACCGGGACTGTCATGCAGGCGGTCATCAGTCCAAAGACGAGGGCCATGAAAAAGACACCTGGAAAGCTGAACAGAATGAGGAATGGCTGGTAGCAGTGCTTTGCTACCGCAGAGAATGGCAGTGGAGAGTTAGTCCACAGTGCTAGTTTCTGCCTGTAGCTCTTCACCGGGATTGAGTGGTTAACCTCAACGGCCTCATAGGAGGGACCATCTTGTGTCGATCTTGACTCTTCTAACGCCGATGGCTCGGTATTCTTTTTGATAGGCATTGGTTTAGAGCCATTCTGATCAGAGGCCGGGATACCATCAATGTAGGATGGTTCAAACATAGTCTCCTCATAGAGAAAAACAAACGCAACAAGGCCCACGCCAAAGAATATAGCCAGCCACCACCAAACCCATCGCCATCCCTGAGTCTGGGTGATGAAGCCACCGGCAAGAGGCGCCAGTGTTGCCCCAACAGTCATGCTAAATATATAGACAGTGCTGGCCAGACCTCGCTGATGAACAAAGTAGATATCAGCAACGGTCATCTGGACTAGAACTTCAGCGAGTGCTCCAACGATGCAGTTGAGAATATTGACCAGTATCAGATCGGCAACCGTTTGCATCTTCCCAGACCAGATGCTGATTCCGCATTGGAAAGCGGTGCTGAATATGTAGATCGGTCGGCGTCCGTACTTCAGGGCAAATGGTATGAGGAAGAGACCTCCAATGCAAAGCGAACCGCATCCTGCTGCGTAACTGTAGTTTAATAAGGCGTAGCTGAAGCCGAGTTCTAGGTTAACGGGACCCCAGGTTACTGTTGCTATGTTGATACTTCGGATCGGTTAGCCTTAAGGGGGTTGTGTGACTGGATTTAGGAGACATACAGTGCGAGCACCATCACGACATAGTAGCACACTAGGCCGAAGTTGAGATTTTTGCGCCATAGTGGCCAGTTCTGGTTGTAAGCCAATTCGTCAACACTGCGAAGAAAAGATTGCTACATAGGACAAGCACCCACCAGTGGATCATTGGGATCTCTGGTAGGCTTTGGCTGCAGGATCACTTCAGCAGTATCACCTGTCCGTGAGAGATCTATTCGCTGGTCTTAGCTTTTGTGTATTAATAGGACGAATAAAAAAGGGGTTGAGGAGGGGAGGGGGATGTCACCCTCAAGCCGCACGGTCCCAGGAGGCCATTCTGGATCCAGAGATGACAGGCTGGGAGACATAACTTAAGAAGTGGATATAAGATGTACGTTGAGGCAAAAAGTGAAATATGACAGTCTAAGCCTGAAGTCTGGACCCGTGGCTTCTGAGGGCTGGCATCGAACTTGTTATATCAATTTTATTAGGCTATGTGAAATTTCTGAAACTTGGAAGGATAATATAACTGTCTCTTATCACGTTGATAACCGAAGTTGGCGTTCTGCGGCGATTCACAATCAAAAATAGTGGCGAAATGTGGAATGCCCTATTTCTGGAAGAGAAAGTTCGTATGTCCAATAGATGTCAGCAGATTAGCCAGCTTATCTCTTTCTATTGATCTCCAATGCGGGGGATCCTTAATGATAACCTCGCAAACATGGAGCACACAAACTCGCTTATCCTGCCAGGCGTTGACTAGATGCCGGACCGTCTGCTGGGATCCAATGAACATCACGGACTATAATCTCTCTATTGGCCAGTAACTGTGAATCTATAAGCTTTCATGTCTACGTAACATACGAAGACGCTGACTTAAAACTTAAATGCTACACTTATCTTTGGAATACGAAGTCAAATTCGGTAAGTCCAACCAGGCAGTCACTATTTCAGTCTATAGCATCTAGAGCTAGCTGGCCTATTTTTCTAAACCTCAGAATAACGTTTAGCCTCTTTTGCTCCGGAAAATATCCGCCAAACGAACCAATGGCATCGATTTTATGCCACTCCACTCGGCATCAACGGAGCGGGTTTATTTTACAACCAATTAAAGCTCAATTTATCGGCCGTTCCCCCTTCTATCCTTTCATCATTACATTATTCCGACCTTTTTTTCTTGTTATATCTCCCGTGTACACCTTCAGATTGCGAGTGAAGCTGCGCGGAACTCCTTCAAGGGAAATTGTGTTTCCCATATAAATATCAACTTGTAAAGATTCGACCCATTCTGCCACTGTATAGCGAATCACGGTTAAAGCGAGAGCTTTTTTTAATTGAAACTGTGGTTGCAGTCCCGAAGGCCGAACCGCTTTCGGAACTCGTTCCACCCTTTCTTTTACGGCCCCGAACTTCTTTCCTTTTTTCCCCTTCGACTCTGGCTCAACATAATTCATAATTTCCGAACCCTTCAGCAAACCCCGATTACTTGCCTATCCCTTCATCCCCCATGGCGCAGAACGAAGACTGGGTTTCCGAGATGAAGACGTGCAAATCCTGCGACCAATGTAGAAGCCGGAAAGTCCGTTGCATCAGTATGTTGTCCACCACCCACTCGGTATCAGGGGTACGATCCTGAAGGTAATGGTCGCGAATGTTTAGTGCCGCCCGGCCAACAGCTCCAATGCACTCACTGCATCGTAAGATGGTGATTATTCAAACATATCATATCGGCCACTGATCTCTAACTCGGCGCTCTATGACTCGTCTCTCTAGAAGCGGAATGATGCCTGCCATTTCACTCAGACCAAGCGTATCCCCCAGATGAAGCGTAAGAGAAGGAAACATGGCGTGGAAAGCACACGTACGTATCCGCAACCAGGAAAACCTCATCGCGAGTGACGGTCGAGATCCTAAACCCGCATTTATGTAGATGCGACGGCCGGTCAGAACCATACACCGCACTTAGAGCCAACAAACGAGGGGATTCGCAGTCAACTGACCGTCCCGCCGGTATTACTGGACCAGATGTTGGAAAACCATAGTAGTTGTGGAATGCTTCGGGATAGCTTTGCCTTGCTGAGGGTCAGTGGCGAACTTTCCCGTTCTATCATTGATCTGAACCTGACCAATCACCATCCCTAGCTAGACACCCGACCATGACGGTATGCGCCATGTCCTACAGAACAACCCCGCCCTCTGACAGTTCGTTGCATTGCAGTGACAAGTTCTAGCCTAGCCTTTTTTTCCGAGAGTCGAATCCACTCCTTATCCGAGCGACTGGGGAATAACCGGCTTAACGAACTGGTCGAGACTATCGAATCGGTCATCCGATCGCGGCTTCTCGCCCAAGGCCCATCCTCGATATCGCCCGTCACATTCAGAAAGCCGTCTGATATCGAGCAAATCCCGATAGACAAGGTCAGGTTATACGTAGACTGTGAGTGGAATCCTTGAAAGCCGCGCAGGTCGCTCGTTGACAACCGATGATAATCAATACATAGCTTACTTCCAACAACTACATCCAATTTACCCCTTCCTCGATCGCAAGGAGTTCGAGGAGAAGGTGCTTGGGTCTAATCGGTCTGAACTCTTGAGTTCCAGCTGTGCGTTCTCTGCTCTGTATCACTCTGTCCTGGCTCTCGGATGCCAGTACCAGGAAGGCGGAGCGTTTGATCCGGGGAGTGGTAGTGCATGGAAGCTGTTCCAGGTGTCGCTGGGTCTTGTGTCGGAGATATTGATCCCGAGGGAAGCCTTGATGAGTCTGCAGGTAAGTCGTCTGGAGGTGGAGGGGGGGGGGGGGGGGGGAGATGATATTTGGATCTGGCTAACAACAGACCATTAGGCCCTGGTAGCTATGGTATGTGGGCGACCATCCTGAGAAAACTGGTCATGTAATGTAATGAGAGTCGCTAATCCGTAGAGTCGTGGCATTTTAGTCAATATTCGCCATGAATACCTGCTGTCTGCAGATTGACGAAATATTGCTTATGGAAGCCTCTCGAATGGCCCAATACCTTGGATACCACAGGGCACTAGGTAGCGGGGACCAACGATACAAAACCACATGCCACCGGACCTTCTGGGTGATATACTACATGGAGAAGCATCTGTGTTTCCAGCGCCAATCCGCCTCAGTAAGTGACACGAAGCGGAGACCATCCCCCAGGCCTTGGCGACAGCTGGAATAACATTGACCTCTTACCAGATGATACCGGATTACGACATTGGGTGTCCCATCCCCGACGTCCCGGAATCCGTCTTCGGGGGTTATAACTGGTTCCTGTCGGCCATAGGCTTCGGGCGCATTCTCTCACAAGCCTATACGTCTCTCTTCTCGGTGAGCGCTGCAATACAACCGACGGAGGCGTACCATATCGCGATCAAAGAGATTGAGGCCCGATTAGAACGATGGCGTATGGCAGTACCTATAGACTTCCGACCAGGGATGCCATTGCAGGAACAGAATGTGCCTGCTTCTTCTTCCTTTTCCGAACCGAGCTTAAAGATGATCGTGCTTCAGACCAGCTTCTCCTACTATGGATTGATTATCGCACTGGCGAGGCTTAAGATACACATAGGTAGACAATCACATTCCCAACAACAGGAAACGAGCAAGCGACTGCTGATGGATACAGCAAGAGCTATCGTGGAGGAAAGCAAGAATGTCAACGTGGCTGCTCACACGCCAAATTTGTAAGCAGCAGCAATACATCTAGGATATCACGGGATGCGTGGTTTTCTGTAGCCATCACTGACCTCTGAGATAGCATTTTGGCCGTGTTTCCTCTCGCCGCATTATTTATCTTGTTTGATTTCGTCGTCCATAACCCAACGCATCCAGAAACGCGAAACAATCTCTCCCTCTTGGACGTAGCGGCCGGTCACTTCAGTCTGTTAGATTACAAGTCTGGAGGGTTCCTGCCGGCATCGCTTATTACCGAATTCGCATATATTGCACGGCAGTATGTCAAGGACTTTAGCAGCAATCAACAACAACAACAGCAGCAACAACAGCAGCAACAACAGCAACAGCAGCAACCGCAGCAACAGCAACAACCACAACAACCGCAACAACCGCAACAACAATACCCTAGCGAACTAGGCCCGTCGATGACAGGATCCACATTGGCTAACACCGAGGTTTGTTACCATCCTGGGTCTTATAATCGCGATCCGTCCTTGTCTGACCTTGATCAGATCTCTACGCAGTTGAATCAACCGAATAGCAACTATTCTAATGTCGAGTTGCAGCCTGACATCATGGAGTCCTGGGAACAAAGGGACTATCTGTATTATCCCATAACACCGGACACGACTGTTAATGGCATGGTTGAGAATCCAATGACGGCTTCACGTAGTATTAACAGCTTGTTTGGGTTTGTGGTACCGAGGTTTGGACATGGTCAATAGGGACTATCAAGATAAATCTCTCAGGGAGAAATATATTCAAAAGTAATTCACCTAGCAACTGCTCCAGAAAAGACCGCTCTATAAAACAATGCTAAAAAAAGAATGCTACTATTAATATGGCATCAGAAAACAGCAGAAAATCATACAACGCCCATCTAGAAAATTTCTGTAATATAGCGCTCCTCAGACAGCGTCCCCAGCATTTTCTCTAACATGGCCTTGACCTCCTTGGCCATACCCCCAGAACCGCAGACATAGATAATCGCATCCAGGGCCCACAGATTCTTAATTGCTTCAGCTTCCTTCACTAACCGGTGTTGCACATACCGGCATCCCTGGGCCAGGTAGTTATCTGGAGCTTTACTGTACGCCCTCCGGACCTTGACCACGCCGGCGGATTCAAACCCGAATAATTCCTCGCGGTAAAGGTCATCCTGGTGGGGCCCACGACAGCCAAAGAACAATATCGCCTCTGCGAGTGGTTTTCCTTATTGTTGTAAGACCATTTGGTCTTGGATAAAGCTGCGGAAGGGGGCGAGGCCACTCCCCGCACAGATCATGATGATCAGCTTGCTAGACAGGACCGTTGGGAGATAGAAAGCGTTTTTGGCTGGCCGCGGAGATATATATAGAATGGACCCTACGGTGAGCGAGGCGAGATAGTTCGATCTGACGCCCAGATACCGGCCATTGCCATTCCACGCTGGCTCGTTGACGACAGAGAATGTGAGGGAACTGTATGAGGACTTAAAGGAGGGTGCCATGGAAAGGGAGTACGTGCGGACACGTAACATGGGGAGCATGGAGTTAAATGTGGCTAGAGGAAGTGGGATGGAGTGGAACTGCTTGAGAAGATCCAGGACCGAGACTCGCTTATTTCGGATGAGTAAATCATAGTGATCGTGGAAATGGAGTAACTTTTGTTTGTCTTCTTCTAGCGGTGCGGATGAGGCGAGTACTTTGATATTCTGTATATATTTCTGTTAGCTAATGTGCTTGGATTGGAGTTGCAGATAAATGCAAGAGATTCCTGTGGACGTACATTCCGCGTTGCAAGTTGGGACAGCTCTAGATACGAGCTGAATAGCTCAGTTGCCGATACAGGTGTGGCGTAGGGAAGACCGAGTACGTTTGAATGAATTGATCGTGATGCTATGGTCCGGTACGAGATGGAATCGGGCCAGGACTCTTGAGACCGTGCTGGGCGGGTTGACCGGGAGGACATTGAGATGATCGCCGGGGCGTATGGTGGTTTCGCTCGGGAGGCAGAATTCTACATGACGCTTTTCCGGCGTCCCGGGAGAGGTTAGGATCCGGACGTCGGTCACAGTCGCCTCGATGCAGCCCTGGTGCAAGCCCACTCTTGTAGGCTTGCTTAGGCTGATTTGGAGCTGGCTCGGATCGAGCGGTGCGGCGTTGTCGCTATTGGACAGGAGGAACGTCTCCCGGAGGGCGGGTTGTAAGCTGGTTTCTTCCCACGCTTCGAGATCCGAGAAGAGGTCGCTGACGGCAGCAGCGTGGCTCCAGCCTTTTGCATCAGATCGTCGATCAAGATCGGGATGCGATAGAATGTTTTGGTCCAGCCTTGGTGGCCGCAGCCGAAGACTGCGTAGGAGACGCCCTGGAGCAACGAGCAGTTGCCGCTTTCAAGCCAGGTGACAAACTTCCTTGCATCATCTGTCGGCTGACCGTCGTAGGTGGTGGTTACGATGATCACCGGTTGATCTTTCGGTAGATTGTTGACCGCACTGTCAAGTGAGGCCGGTTTCTGATCAGTAAACCCGTGGGCCATCATAGTAAATGCCAGCCGATGGGCGAGAGCTTTGCACGTTCCACTGTTAGAGCTGCAAAAGAAAGAAATCGGCTGCCCTCCTGCCACGTTCTGATTATTTCCATTCCTAGCAAGAGTGGGCGATGCCGGGCTTGTGGTAGCACTCAACGACCTACTGCGCCGGGATAGCTCCGTGGCACTCTGGCCGCGACGCAATGTCACTCGAACTCGGAAACTGTCAGGCTTTATAGTGAGAGTCTCTTTGATGCGCAGTTCGTAGGACAGGTCATCTGCCACGAAATCAAATGTTTGAAGGACTAAGGCAACCACCAGTTGGGCCTCCTACCAAGCAAAGGCCCTGCCAATGCAGCCGCGTTCGCCATTGCCAAAAGGCTTCCACGAGTTGGATGGGAGCTTGGAGAAGTTCTCTTCCAGCATGCGTTCCGGGTGGAACTCATCTGCGTCAGGCCCAAAAACGTTCTGGTCTCTTAGACAGACAGGCAAGAGCAGGTTGACAGACTGTCCAGGACTGATCACCCATTTGCCGCCAAGCACCTCCGGCTTCTTTGGGGTGACAGCGAATGCCGGGGCGGTGGGCATCATGCAGACTTTCCTTCATGATAGCATCAATATAGGGAAGCTTTGCGAGATGCTGCACTGTGATTGGAGCCTCGCCGATGACTTCGTCGATTTCATTCTGGGCTCGCTCCAAGACAGTTGGGTGTTTCAAAAGATAGTAGAATGTGAATTAGAGTAGACCGGAGGTAGTCTCATGGCCCGTGATCAGAAAGGTAATGATGTTGTTGATAATTAAGTCATCGCTCATGCCTTCACCGGTGACTGGGTATTGTCCGTTCAGCAGCGTATTCAGCAGGTCCTCTACCGGCTCCGGCTTATTTTTGCGCTCTTGGATGATGTTGCGGGCTATATTCCTCATAGCCTTGATGTTCTTGGACGTGCGCCTCTGTGCCTTGACACACATGGTATTTGCAATCCCGGGAAGCGTGGACTAAAGGTCAGCTTCTTTTAGCAAGTATAACATGGAATTCATGAACGGGTGCATATTTTCATTTTTGTAAAAGCTATTTAGGCGGAAGTTCATCGTACAGAGGCAGATGGTGTCTAATGTGAGGCGTGTAAAGTCATCGCAGATATTGATACTGGTCGAACTGCCCTGGCGGGCCCTGCATACCAGTCAGCCCCTTTTTTTTTGGTTCTCATTCCCTAGCGTGAAAAACTACTCAGTAATCTTTACCATTTAAGACACAACTGTTGTGCGACGTCACTCATATCCTCGAACATGTCCCGGATCCGTAGCGGACTAAAGGCGGGCATCAAAATCCGATGGGCAATATCACAGCCACATTCTCCATGATAGGCTGTGAAGAGGCCATCGTGGGCCACCATTCGTAGCTTCTCGACTCCCGCGATGACGGCCTTGTGGAAGCGGCTTTCGTCACAGAGCTCATCAACCAGGGCCTGGCTAGTCGCAAAGATCAGCTTGTCGCCATTAATGGTGATTTGGAATAGAGGTCCTGGGTTGGTTGGTTAGCGATGGCTCTTCCTACACATCCGACCAGACAGTGAAGTTTACGAATTCATCGGCCATTTTGATAATGGACTGTAAGCCATGCTCGAGGTCGATATCGAACAGATTTCCCACCACCGGTAGAGCTAAATGTACGCCCAGCTAGTAAAGGCATCAGTCGATTTGGATGATAGTGCTCGTTACGTTTGGGTCCAGGAATGGCTTCCCTGTCTTGCATCGCTTTCGACTAGATAGTGGTTATGATTGACGCGGTGAATAAATGAATTAGAAGGCTGAGGAGTATATAATATGATCTCTCTTTATACCTCGTAGCGCCTCCAGCAATTTAGAACAGTCTCATAAAATAAGCCATCTCAGGTGACCGTCAGTCAATAGACTCCGAAGTATGGCGTGCTTAATCAATAGATCTACCGGGGCTCGGGGCTCGGTATACCCAACATATAACTAAATCCACACTCGGGGGTATCGCCAAGATTTCTATCTCCTTTATCATCTCGGAGTTAATTTCCATCTTATAGAGGCCTATCTCTTTTACTGGATAGATAAAGTAGTGTCATACTATGGTTTTCTTCAATATTGCACGATTGTGTTGTTTAGTGGAGCTGGATATAGTAAGAATAGTAATATAAGAGGAACGTAACTGGCTAGTACAGAAATAGTATATAAAGAGTGTTCGACTATATTTGGTATTTAAGTAAGTGTTACCGGAGCCTCATTTGGCGTCTTCATCCTCAGCGGTATCTACAGCCTCCCCATCGATTACTACCAGTGTCTCTTCCTCCTGCAGCTGCTGGGTAAATCGCACTCTCCTCCAGTAATGTCGTTCTCGTCTCAGGTCCAGCCGAACGCAGATCACTGTTAACAGTACCCAGATCCCGGCCCAAATGGCAGGCACCGACCAGCCAAGCTGCAACGGGTCGCCCCATAATGTCAGTCCCACAGCTCGCACTTAGGTGGTTAGACACACATACCGTATAAGCCAGCTCGCTGTCCGCAATAACTATCCCCGCCAGCGTCCCCCCCGCCACCACCACTTGAGGTACCGCCCATAGCATTGTCACTCGGTGCAGCATCTCGCGAAAGGGCGGACTAGTCTTGTACCGCTGATCCAGGCGGGTTCGGAATTCGGTCCCTCCTTTACCGTCCACCGCGACAATGTCTTCCAGCAGCGGATAGATTGCGGGACGCATTGGGTCACCTTTCGGGATTGAGGAGATACGGAATGGGGCTGGCTTCTTCAAGACGTATAGGACCTCGAATACCAGCATTTCGAGGGCGAAGATAAAGAAAATTGAAGGAACAGGCATTGCTAGCATACGCATTATAGGTGGCTCGGGGATGGTTCCGATACCGAGTTCGGCGATGATAATAACCCAGGCGACGAGGATGTTCCACTGGGCAAAATCAAACTACAGGGATTGGGTTAGAGATAATACTCACCGGCAGAGTATGAAGAAGAAGAAGAAGAAGAACAGAATGAGGAGAGATTCTACATCGTAGCGGCCAGCATTGGAAAGGCGACACGTGGAACCTTTCCGCCACAGATACCACGATCTCTGCAACGACTCGGTCACGAACGTACCGAACAAGGTCAAGGTCAAGACACTGAAAACTATAAAAAAAAATAGGCAGTTAGATCTCAACAGAGCAAGGACTGGGGCCGGGCGTACTTGTCGTTTTGGACCATGTTGTGAGCCTTGTTAGGAGGTAGTAGAGCCCGATTGGCAAGACGACCGAGTCGGACAAAACTAGCAGCCAAAAAGTAAGGATACACAGTTTTCGTTCCGCTAGGCTGTAGTTCAACGGCAGAGGCTCTGTGAATTGCTGGGAATCGGACATCTTGTTTTGCAAATGAATATACAGAGAAGGAAAGTGATAACAGAACCAGGTAGAGTACCATATGCAGTTATACTGATAGCATCCGTACTCTACCCTAGTATGCGTACTCTACCCAGGCAATTTAACTCCGCTACATCATCCATGTGGAAAATAGTCTTCAAATTCTGTTTCAGCTTTGCGACATGTTCTAAATTAAGAGGTAGGTTAAGAACAAAATGGCTGCCTGTTGAGTTTTCACCGAACACCGAGAAACGCTATCCCTAATTCCCGAAGACCGAAGTACAAATTCATTCAGATTCATGGAAGAAGTTATCATTCTAGAAGGGGTTGCGCCACTAAGGGTAGCTGGCCTGAGTATATACAGTCACATGACAAAAGTCTACGTAATTCCGCATCACGCGACGCGCTACCCAATATTATGCTTCATCTTTACAACCACCTGGATCATGCCTCGCACTCCTTTACGGTCTACTAGTTCTAATAGGACTAGTAGACATGAATTAGAACTATTTCAATGTGGGATTATAGTTGGTCGATTTCTTGCAGGCCAGAAAAAAGCCGATATTCAACGCGCAATGAATTTGCCATATATAACAATTCAAACCACTATTGAAATATATCAGACCTCTACTACTGGGACTAGCTTCCCTTGCTCCGGACAGCCAGAGATCCTTTCTGATACTGATAAGCGATATATTCTTTTACAAATTAAGCGAGATTTCTTTATAAAAACAGAAGATATCTGCAAATTACTTGACAAGCCTGTTTCTACACGCACTGTTGCGCGTATGTTAAAAGAATCTAGATATAGTCACTGGAGAGCGCAAAAAAGACCTTAATTAACTAAGAAAATAGTTAAACTATGCTATTAATGGGTATATACACACAAGGACTGGACATACAAGCAGTGAAGCAAGATTATTTAGAGTGATAAATATTCTGTTAAGCTTGGCAAAGGAAAGAAAAATCAATAGATATAGCGGCTTAACTACCTTAATAAAAAATAGAAAAAAAAGTATATTATTCTATATATAAAAGGTAGAGGAATCTCTATTATGATTTAGGCAGTAATCTGGAGTGGTAGTTGTACAGAAATTTACTGAATAAGTAAAGATGAGGAATCTGCTTGAGGAGGATATTCTTCACGCTTCTATTTAGAAATTATTGAAGATTATCTACCTGCTATATAGGAACCTGGTATGGAATTTATACAAGATAATGCTCCTATTTATATAGCCAATATTATTAAGAATTGGTTTAATAAGAATAGTATTTCTCTTGTTAACTGGCCTCCATACTTACCCGATCTGAACCCTATTGAGTATGGCTGGGCTAAGCTAAAAGAGCGTATCTATATGCTTTATCCAGACCTTGAATTATTTAATAGAACCAAAAGCCAATTGAAAGAGCAATTTTATAAGGCTATTAAGAATATATAGAAGAGCTTAGGAGAGGATTATTTTGATTCCTTAATAAGGTCTATAAAGAGCCGTGTGAATGCAGTTTTAGAGACAAAGGGATAGTATACACGCTACTAGTATAAAAAAAAATATATACAATTCTTTATATACAATATAGCTATTATATATTTGAATATCTTATAAAAATATTAATGTCTGGTGGTTTTATGTGAGATTATGATGTTCCGATTATTATATATATTTTGGTGGTTGCGGGAAATTACGTAGACTTTTGTCCAAGAACTATAAATCTAATCGGCGCGCCGACGAAAGGTCGGAACAAAGAAACAACGACCACAGTTTTATATCTACAAAGTCTCGCGTGGATGTATTGAGATCTCACTAGCAACAGCTATCATGGCAGAGAGCACGCTTCCAACTAAAATCCCCAACTCCAATCATACTGATCTTCCTTTAGTGTCAAACGAGAGGACGACGATGTCAATCGAACAATTCGCAAACCGGCAAGCCGCGTGTCCCGACGCACCTTGACCTCAGCAGTAACTAAGTCTCGCAACGATGTTTTCCATCCACTTCCCGATTCAGATCTTGACTCACAATCCTCTACCTTTGACACTCGGGCTTGGGTGAAAGCGCTCGTGCGATACGAGAGTGAGCATCTCGAGTCAGGACGGCGCCGGAAGTCCGGCGCCTCCTTCCGTAATCTCGATCTATACGGCTTCGGCATGCCTACTGACTATCAAAAGAGTGTTGGAAACAGCATCCTTTTATTGCTGACACAGTGGTGTAAAAAGTGGATTGATATCCTCCATGACTTAAAGGGCCTAGTCAATGCCAGCGAGATGCTGTTGGTGCCTGGGCCTCCGGGCTCGGGGTGCTCGACCCTGCTGAAAACGATCGCTGGGCGCATGGAAGGTTTATTTTTACGCGTTGACTGAAATCAGACTGGGGCGCTCCGTTACCATTGTGGGCGTCCTTTACCAAAGGAGAACCATACGGCGCCCGGACTTTGCCCCAAGTGAAAGGAGACTTAGCAACAGGGTCGACGTGACCGTACAGGACATCCGCGATGGAGATACCAAACCCCTGGCCTGGAAAACCGCCCCAGAGAATACTGGTGACATTGGGGTGATCATACCATTAACTGATCAAGACCGGTCCAACAAAGTGGATGATGGCAACGCTATTGTTCGAGTTATTAGCTGCGGTTTTGGCCACATTATCACCGTTTTCCCACAGAGTGATGTTGTTGCGATCGCCCTCATTTCCATCTACACTAAGAGAGCCTTCTCCTGCGTCGGCATTCGCGAAGACGAAAGATATGCTGGCTGGACGGGCAGCCGTAGCAATCTTGTCGAGACCCCAACTGTCAGCCACGGCGAAAGGACTGCCCCGGCCCTGAAGGACTTCATTCTGAATCGCCTGCTCCGTAGTCACGAGGTATGGAAAGTTCGCAGTACCACTACCTTAGCCCATGGCAAGGGTGCCGTCATCGCACCCATGGTCATCACAGCCGGTAGCACCCCATGCGTTGGAGCCCGCATCGTCTCCCAAAAGAGCGACTAATTTTTCCTTGCAACTCAAGGGCAAGGCACCCTTGTTCTTCAGCAGAATGGTGCTCACCGCACCAACGCGACGGATCTGCTCGGCATGACCGCACTGTATATCCAACGAGTTCATTAACCCTTTCATAAGCACTTTCCGAAACATGGAAATGCGCGAAATCATAATCGTCCCTGGCCCAAGAGCTAAATTTGGGAGGGATATACTTCTTGTCGCGGCCAACCTCGTGGTAATCGCCCATGATACGGACGGCCATGTCATCGACGCTTCATTGGGGGGTTGTGCCGTTAAGGACACCGACCGTTAAGTTAGCACCCCAGAAAGACATGCCACTATCAAAGGTAGCATCACCGGGCATCTACATGTCCTGATCAGCCAAAGCAGCGCCTGCACCACTGTGATGAGCCGTCAAATGGCTCACAACAAAGCCTTGGAATCCCAGTTCCGCCTTCAAAAGTTTGTTCAGAGTTTCGCTATTTTCGTAACCATAGCTGCTGTTAATTTAGTCATAAGAGTACATAATAGCACTGACTACAGCGCGTCCTGCATCCGCGAAGGGCCAAAGGTACAATTTTATGCATAGTCATGTCATCAACGCTGGAACTGACAGTCGCTTACGTTGAATCCATACCCAGCAGTTTCAAGTTATTGGCGGAAATGCTCTTGCTCGTTCAAGATATAATGTTTAGCCGTGGCGATGACACCAGCACCTTGAATATCTTTAACCGTCTATGCAAACAGAACACGGGTGAGGCTAGATCTAGAGAGAACCCTTCCCAGTTTCGACATCCGTCCAGATGAAGCACTGAGAGGGGGCCGGCAGCACTGCCCAGTTGAACGGCAATGCCCTTGTCATTGAATTACCTCCCCCATTGCCTGACTACGGAGGTAGGCGAGTGTCTTGTCCCAGGTGGCAGCAACATTGACACCCGTGGGAAAGGCTGAGTTGTAGTCCGCTGCGCAAATATAGTAAGCAATACGTTGAGTAGAAAAGGGGAAGTCGAAACCATGCATACCGAAACGGATTGCAAGAGGGCTATCCTGCAAGCACAGGCTAGGAATGCCCAGTCTGTAAAGCCCTCAGTTAGCCTTCCCTAAAGAACGAATGTCATAATGGAAATATACTCAGCCGGCGATACTGCCAAGTATAGGTATGTTAGCCAACAGAGTCCTGCACAAGCTACAGCACACACAAACGTACCGCGTTCCAGTCGTTAAGTTGATTTTCTCTGTCAATGACATCTGGGACGCAATGTCCACAGCGCGTTTGTACATTTCCGCCTATTCACATTGACCATTAGCCCATGGGGAAGGATAGAAATGAGGGGAGTATGCAAGATCATCCTACGAAGATAAAGTTGTTAAAGAGCTGATCCAACTGAGTAGTAGAGCACCGCATGGGATAGTGATACGTACCTTGGCATTGACTACACAGGCAGCGGCCAACGCGGCCACCTCAAAACAAAGCGAGCTTCATGATTATGTGGATGGCCACTAGCCGAAACAGACAATGGATACCAGGTGGCCACACAAAGCTCACCAAGAATGACTAAGGAGTGAGAGAAGAGCACCGACAGTGGAGGGGAGCAAGCTGATAAAAATAACAATGAGCATTGCAACGAGGGATCAACTGACGCCACCAACAATGGGTAAATTAAGTACGACGGATGATGTGTCCCTTGCTTGCTATTTAGGCATGGTTACCCACCAGCCGTACTAAAGCAAGCTGTCACGCATGCAGGAAGACCTGCTGTTTGTTGGGTTATCGGTATGGGGGCTCCAGACGGAGCGACACGAGTAAAACAAATTCCATCAACAAATGTGAAGAGGTGGGAGGTACAATGGATTCCTTGAAAGGCAAATAGAAGGACAATTTAGCAAGGGAACCAATAAGCATGACGCAGAGTGAAGAGCAATCATGATCCGATTCGACACCCTCTAGGCTAACGGTGAACACGACCCAGAGGCTTCCCCTTGCTTAGGGTACCTGTGTTGTCCGTCAGGGCACACTTTTACTTAGCATGAGGAGCCATTGCTTGAGAGAAGTTCATCAAGTGGCCTAGTGAAGGGGTTTCGAAATTGCGCTTGCCCCGAACCTAGATGGACCACCACCTGATTAACAATCCCCTACTATTATTAATTTAAATCGGTGGTGAATTTGAAATCGCAATAAATCTATTCTTCGAGAGAAAGATCATGGATGAGAATATACTAGTGGTAAATGGATGTTTATCCGTACATCATAGATCCAAAAACAACTCAAACAGAAATATAAAGATATGCTCTGACTCTCAGAGCACTAACACGGTAGCCAGGCATTATTACGGCTCAATTTTCGCAATCAGCAATACAGAGATGATTGCTTTTAGCTTTCCTTCGTCCGATGAAAGGCCGACCCAATTGAACCATGCTCATCCGGATCGAATTGCATTGCACGTGGAGTTACGAGGGTCAAGATCCGCAACCCTTGTAATCAACAATACGAGCACATTCACCTACCACGGAAAGAGATCCATTTCGGTTCCCGAGATAACCTACTACGTCAGGATTCTATGGGTGTGGGATGAGACCAACCAGAACCAGAACCAGTATCTCTCATGCACAAAAGCTTTCCAGCCAAAGCCCTTAGACTTGTTTCGCAGGCCAAGTGGCTTAGGAAGAGTCCAAGGTTTACGATCTATGATGGAACTTTGTCCATGATTTACCGGATATCAGTAACCATGACCACTGTCACTATGCTTGCACTCAGCTCTGCTCCCGTTAGAAGTCTATATGACGTTATACTCCATCCATAACTACAAAAACGGGTTCGTGAGACAGGCGGAATGAAACCTGCCGTATTCCCAAGACACCTAATTTGACATATTCAAGACGCTGGAGGCGAGTTTAGGCCTGTCCTTTTTTGGATGTCCTCAGGAATTAACTGTTCCCTTCTACGAAGAATAACGAACTCTTAAGTCTATTAGACCGTCTCTCCCGTACGTGCAGTGAGGATATAGCAGAGCCATGCCCGGTGTCAAGCTATCAGGGGCAGGATGTCTATAAAGCTCATTCCCTACTCGAGTGTAATCTCCCTCCGTAGAAAAGGGGTGCTAAGAACGTCAGAGGCGCAAAGTGGAATAAACTGGATTGTTCACTATCTACGTCTGCTCCAGAAGAGTAGGGCCCATGTTAATAGGTCCGTCTATCCAGCTAGTCATTGAAAATCCAAGCCCGTGCTCACCCAACGCTCCGGACCGAAGGCACAAAATTTACCGGTCGGGTTTGGAGATATACCAAGACTATGCCTCCATTGCCCAGTACCCCTATGGCCTTAGTAGACACTGGCAGTCCAGTTGGACACAGTGAACTTTGCGGGACCCCCGGTGAATGGCTCTGTTCCGAACTGAAGATCTATTCGTCATGTTTGTTAGTGACATTTCCACTGCAAGAAGCATGCGGGTCGAAAGTTCTCTTACTAATCAGGTACTTGGTGGCGGAGGGGAAGCTTTGCGTGCTGGAGAGATAGTCGAAAAAAGCTTTGAGATCCCCTTTGTAGTTGTTGATCGGGTTCACTGGCACGAAGCTGTACGTTTTCTGCTCGGCACCGGCCTGGATGCTGGTGCCATACCACACCTCCCAGGACCTCCCTCCCACCGTGGTCATGTTAATCTGCTTACCAATGGGCTGGATTGTGCCGTAACGAGCAAGCCTAGCATGTGGCCCAACGCCGGCAGTGTCAGTTTCAAGCTCTTTCCGGGAAGACGATAGATCTAATCAATCAACCTAGGAAAGCTTCGTTCATACATACCAAACCACCAGTTCATAATCACCGCTGGATGTGGCATGGTCCACGTTTGCCGCGGTAAATATATCATACGCGACATCAGCATCGACATTGGTGTTATCCTACGTCCATTCCACCCCGGTGGGAATGCTTCGCACATCGTTCACGAGCTTCTTCTCGAAGTCCACGCCTGAGTTAGAGTAGCTCTTCACTGTTCCCTTACCGCCGTTCCAGGTCCAAGTAGTGTGCCACGACGCACCCGCGCTGGAGAGGCTGTCAATGTACACGCACTGGGAGCCGGTGCCTTGGTATTCTTCCCACAAGTTGTTGTTCACCGAGTATGGGGGGCTTCTAGCACTGTCGTACTTATCACAGAGCTCCTGGCCCATAACGGTAGCCGCAAGCGTAACAAGTCCCACGAAGAGCTTCATGTCAGGCAACGGAGGCGAGAGGACCTTGGTCAATAGAATATTGAAGGGGATAAGGGGACCGTGGTTTGGATGGAAGGCGAAAACTGAACCAACGATGCTCACCCCTGTTATTATGGCCGTCTGTCTTCCTTGGCCTGGTGCAACATCGTCTGGCGGGAGATATCCATTACCCCGTCAGATATAAACACCACATAGCGTCTGGATTGGCGATGAGATATACCTCTTTCAGCAACTTGTAGGGGCCGAACCCACGCTTGTGTTCTGGGTTTTTACTCCCCGTGATAAACGGGTAATCCGAACAGGTTTAGGCCTCGCCAGAACCCGCGGGTTACCGTTGCGGGTTACCCAAAACTCGCAAATTTGAGGGTTCCGGGCTGGGATCAATAACCCGCCGGCGGGTTGTAGGTGATCTTTGCGGGCTACCCGAGGGTTATCAAACATGACAAACATATATTATGAAAATTTCGCTATATTTTACCTATATAAAAGCCCTTTTTCTCAAAGTATTTTTAGTATATATCTATTTATATGGAAAGTATATATAGCTATTAATCTATTAAGTTTATTAAATAATAAAAAATGGTGTTGCTCTCATATATTAAAATATATATATATAATGACAAAATATATAATTACAGATAAAATCCCCAATAATAACTTATCTTCTTTTACATATATATATACTAAACAGTATATTTACACCATATATCTTATGTTTAACAAGGAGATACCTAAGAAAAATAACCAAAGCTAAGGTGTATTTAGTAACAGTATAATATTATACTACTGACTTATCAAGTTATCTACCCTATTTTAGGAAAGGTGCAGGAGATTTATGCAAAACGGGTTATATGCAGGTAAGCCGCGGGTCACCCATTCGGGGTTAAGGGTCGGGTGAGGGTTAATTTTTTCAACCCGCAAATCTGCGGGTTAGGGTAACGGGTTGGCAACTCCAACCCGTTTGCGGGTTATGGCGAGGCCTAAACAGGTTGCGGGGTCCGCCATATATTAAGCAATTAAAATAAGTACTAATTGATTCAACGTCCTATTTTCTATGATATATTGAATGGTCATATAATTTAGTGGTGTTTGAATATATGGAAGTATAAGATAACTATTTTTAGTTAGGTGGTGCGGCTCCCCGTACGAAATTGAAACAAGTCGGTGTGGAAAAAGAGTAGGTACTATGTAGATCGGCCGGTCAATTATCGGAAATATTTGAGTACTGTACCGAAAATGGGGCATTCTTCACTGGATGTTTGTCATAATAGCGAAGAGGCTGAGACTTAGACCGTGGACGTGTTGTAGACCATGCAACCTGCTTGAGAAGACAATGTACATGTTGAATTCTCTATATAGCCATTAGCCTGCACTGGAAATGTCAGGTTTGCTCTCTTGAAAAATTTCTCGTTCACTCTAGCAGGAATATCAGCCGTGCATACTGTGCTAATCTTTGAGATTGTGATAATTAATAGTACAACTGGGAGCTCAAAACTTGGCTGATGGCGAAGTGCAAGTAATTCTGAGATAAAGGAATGTTGTGAGATAGGAACCCTGCTGGTGACTGTCTAGTACAGGGATGTAATCAGCTTACCAATTTTACCAGCATTTAGTTTCCTATTCAATCTGTCGGAGATCGCCACGAGCGTATCGAATTGTACTCAACAACACAAATATGTAGGCCTAATTCGTTGAATCTAGTTACAAGGCTGGCCTAAATACGGTGATTAAAGTAGAAGGGGCCATTTACTTTCCAAAATAGGAACTAGAAACGATACTACGACAGAGCACGCTCTGCCTATTAGAATTTCTAACGTTGAAGCAAAATCCAAGCGGCTTCTAAAGGTCGAACAACGTTTGTGCGGGACAAGGCTGCTAAGCCCCAGTAGTCTCCCTCACCCTGACGAAGAAGCCCCCTGTTGAATTTATGGCGGATGGTTGGCTCTTAGGTCGGTCACTAATGAAAACATAGACATCACTGTTCCCCACTGCCTCTTCGCGGATTTATGCTACAATCTCCTTAATTGTTCTTTCCCTCTCATTCAGCCCTGAGTTTTCCTATAAACCACTGGGTTTCCTCCAGCCTTCGTTCAGCTTCCCGCGAACATGGAGCTTGGTTGGCTTGAGGCGGCTGTCTTGACAGCTACTACTATAGGTAGTACTTAGGTATGATCTCAATATAAGTCTTACTGTAACGGGCTAATTGTCCGTCATTATAGGGTAACATTTCTTACTCTCCTCCGTACTACCCATCTCCTTGGCCGACCGGCCAAGGTGACTGGTCCGAGGCATATACCGCGCTGTCAGGATCGTCTCCCAGACGACTCTAGATGAGAAGGTCAACATTACAACTGGTACAGGGTATGATTGGGCTAGTTTTGGAAAATAAGATCCGGTTGCTAAGTATTCAGTTCTGGGCAATATTGTAATTACTACACCTAGACGCCCTTCTCGACATCATGGGCATATTCTTGATCGACAGGTTAAGTGAAGTTCTGCTTACGAACAAGAAAGGAAGAAATTTCTGTAAATAAGTGAAAATCAGAGACAGTACCGGAAATAGAACGGCCTAGCGCATAACACTTTCAACGGCCGCCTCCTAGTTCGACACCTCGCCACATATTCCTCCGCTCCTTAGATATCTTACTGCTGAAGAGTAAAATCAAGCTTGCCAGTGCCCTTGAACCCTTCCGCAGTAACCATCTGGAAAACAGGATTACCAGGCTGAAGTCCCAGCTCCTGCCAGCGCTTGAAATGGGCAGCAACGTCAACAGAACCGGAATGACGGGGCTCGCGGCGAACGGACCACAGCTGGTTAAAGTTGGTAACACCATAGATCTCAGGGACATTCCTGTAGGGAAGCATATAGACATCGTAGACGCCGCCATCGGCATAAACCTGGCCGAGAATATGACCGTTGCCCGGCGTTCCAGTTCCGTGTGCTTCGACGACGTACCATTCGGTGACGGGGTTCGTGGTCCAGCCATACACCGCCAGAGTGAAATCACCTTCAGCCTGGAACTGACCCTGCCAAGACAGGGTTCTAGAAAAATATCGAGTTGCGTTAGCTTCAGGCGGGAAAGGCTCAAGTCTAGATTAATGAAATGCTCACCGAGGATTTCCACCCTTGAAGCCCTTTCCGCCCAGGAACTCGCTGTTCGTGTTCCAGCTGAGTTTGAACCGTCCGCTGTTGTCGAACTCGGAGTATTCAGCGCCTGCTCCGTTATCGTTGTACAAGGAGTAGTAGAACCCTGCGGGGTCTACGCCGTCCTTGCTGATTTTAAAAGTGCCATCACGCTTTTTGATGCTTGCATCTTCCGTGGCGTTCACGATGAGAGCGCCCATGTGTTCGAGAAATTCAGAAGACCTAGCCACAGCTTGGACTGTGGTGCTATCTGTGGGGGCCGCCAGCGCTCCCAAGGCCGGAAGGAAGAATAGCAATCGACTGGCTGACACCATGTTGGCAAGAGGTTTGCGAAAATGATTTTTGCAAAAGTGATTCTTTAAGATTAGGAATATTTGTCTTTGAATGATAGTCAAAGAGCTTTTGAAAGGGCGTGTTGTCTGCTCCAACTATTTTTGCAGTACCTAACCTGCTGGGACATGGAAGATGAAGAATTAAATAGACACTTGGCAGGATGAAACCATTTGCGTAAATTAGACCCTGAAGTCGTTTCCGTTGCTTATGGGTCATATTCGCAGATAGACAAATCATTTAGGCTTACCTATCATGACAAGGGACAATTCCGAGGTAGTTAATATTTTCAGGGTCGAGGCACGATCTGTCCCCACTCTTCATTGTTGAGACAGACACCTGCGATTTTGTTCCTGTAAACCCTGGTAATTTCGTTGGTGGGCAATATATCACAGAAACCAAGCATTCGTTGGTACGCTAGTTGCGGGGATTATAACTCAGTAACCGGTAGTATACAAAATTACAGACTAATGATATACAGCCAAACTATATTATAGTATTAAACAACGACGGTGGAGTACGATTTCTCCCTGGCCCGCTCACAGTGACAAAGTTCCCTGGTTCAACCAGTATGATATGCTAGAACGTACATGTCCAAGGTCCAAGCTGGCATACATCGGGTCTCTAGCTGGTCATGCTGTAAAGGAACCCAAGTTAGCTAGAACAGGACAGGACATTCCTTAAAAAAAATAAAATAAGGGTAGATTGTATTGCTCAGTTGGGACGCGATAGAAGTTCAGAAGGTCGGTATTTAGGCTATAGTCGGCTGTTGCTGACCAGACAAAACCCGTTGGATAAATAATGGAAGTTTCAGCTTCTTTTGGTAAGTCGAGTGGATCCCCCTTACCTAAACAAAAAGCTCGTTTCAAGAAGGTGCAGGGATATCTCAAACTGCCAATTGCACAGCCAGTTCGACTTCTTACCACCCTATAACTGATCAATGCTTCATATTCTGTGCTACCATTCATTCAGTGACAAGGGTTCAATTAGTCTTCCTTCATACCCTCCTGGCCCTCAGTGCTCTCGTCTCGGTCCACTGCACTAATTCTCCGGGCTGCGGTAAGAAACCTACTCTTACGAACGGCGTCCACCGAATCAACGGCCACGAGTAAATCCTCAAAGTCCCCGACAGCTACGATGCAAACAAACACATCACTTCATATTCGGCCTCCACCACCGTGGCACACAAACTTGAACAATGTGGTGAATGGCGACGGCATCCAGACCTGGTACAGCCTCGAAGCTCGGGCAGAGAGTAGCGCAATTACTAAAATTCCAGAAAATGATATTGTTCATTAATCAGTTCAGTTCAAAACATTAAGTAGACCTTTATTAAAACAATTAAATTATTTGATGAAGAACTGCCTGCATTATTGAAATATCTTTATAGATTCGATTCAAGATAACGACCTACTGAACAATATCCCTCACTTTTTATATACTTGAATAAAAACAACACACATTTATTGATAATTACTATCATATTTGCCAACTAGCTTACTGTAGTTAAACTATTTAGTTTATTATCTTAGCGCATAATATATAAACCTACGCAGATTGTCTAATAAAAACGGTGGTTAAAAGACAGCAGACATAGTAACAAATGTATCAGCTTTGCAGAAACAATATAATATCAGGGTGCAGGCTTGGACAGACAGGCTAGCAGAGCTAGTACACAGACAGCCCACTGGTCAGACTATATACAGGCAGGTAGACGAGACACAGCCTAAGGAGCTACGACGGGGTCAGGATCGTACAGGAAATAAACAGGGCTGGCACCGTGACATAAACGAAAGATTTTGCAGATAAGAGTACAGTCTTTAATTTGATATTTGGGAGTTTTGAAATATACTGTAAACGAGGCCAGTCTCTTGAGAGGACTTTCTACAATTGAGCACAATGACACCAGGATGGCAAGAAAGAGACACTGATACCGTCGGGAATAGATAGCCTGCACGCCCGGCCTGCTGTTGGGTGTTCGAGCATCTGCAGCTTCGCAAGTTGTAGAGATAAATAGCGCTACATGGGGTGTGTGTGTGTGTGTGTGTGCCTTCATACGCTGACCCCTCGCCTATAGTTGGAATCAATGTTCCGTTCTCTTCAGAGATACGTTAAACTTGACAGCTAAAAATATCGTGATCAAGCTATAAGAGCAAGTCATTACCTTCAGTTTCTCTGTATCCGCACTGATCCGAAATTGAGCTAAATTAAAAAAGGCATGCAAGTATACAATTAAAATCATATTGTTATTTGAAAAGCGACCTAGCTACGCTCTAGCATAGATCAAATGGAAAGTCTGCCATGATTCGGATGTCAGCCCCAGAGTAATCAAACCCAGCACGTCCCCAAGCATTAATGGCCAAAGAAGCACTGCTGATAGATACCCATAAGCTTATTTCAGGGTGGACAAGTCCTAAAATGCCTGTCTGGTATACTAAGAGCCCCTGCACAGATCAAAGAGAAAGTTGTCCATGACTCTCTAGGTTGCTAGGCTCAGAGTCCTCAAGTCCCTCATGCTCATGTTTACCAAACAGATATGTGAGCAAATCCACTGCTCGAGAAGCCCTCGGTGGAAAGAATCTGATAGTCGTGAGCGCCTAGCTTCATTCCATGCGAAGCCCAAGCATTGAAGTGGTTGGCAGTGGTAACTGTTCCAGCTGAGCGTTTATTGCGGCGGATAGACCAGTACTGCATAAAGGTTGTCTTGCCAACGATAGAGGGCTGTTCGACCTGCTGATGGGTGTAGATATCATAGACTGATCCATCGCTAGTGAAAGATCCCTTGTGGGTCATGCTAGGGCCGGGGTTGTAGGTTCCGTAATTCTCCAAGATATAGTATTCAACGAGAGGGCCCTTAGTCCACCCATACACAGCAAGATAGGCATTTCCAGAGGGTTTGAAATCTCCAGCGAAATGAATGTTGCTAGTTAAATGTCAGTTATTTATCAGCAGAGCGCTAGGTGAATAGATCTTACCGGGCACTGCCAGTACTCCAGCCCTTGCCAGAGGTGAAATCGCCGCAATTTTTCCAAGACACGCTGTATTCACCGTTCTTTTCATTGTTGTACTGGACAATACCGCCACCGTTGGTCCAGAAGGAGAAGTGATAGCCATTGTTTTCTCCAGTCTGGCTTGTGGTGATAGCTCGCTTGGCCATGTTAATATCAGTGGGAGCTGCGAAGGCGCTTGCGAGAGCACAAGCAGCCATGAGGAGACCCGAGAAGGAAACCATATTGAAGGAATAACTGAGTAACTTTAAAAGAATGACTGTGGTTAGAAAGAAGTCTTTTCATGGGAAAAGTGACCCTTTATAGCATTGGCCGATGCAAGTGGGTGCCCGTTCCTGCAGTATTACAAATTCTAGATGTCTTGCTTTAATTTTAAGCATCATTTAAAGGCCCCACATTTCCCAGGGTCCTATCTCATAAAGTTAACCCGTTTCGGGCTAGCATATTAGTGCTAGGGGCGTTGATAGTGGTACAATCAGGAGAATAACCCAATAGGAAACAGTGATGCTGTTTTCACTAGCGGTTTACGTAGTTAATGCTCGAATGGCTTACCAAGGGTGGACTACAGGGCACAAGGCCTCTGAGCATTTTTCCAGCATCTCCAAGAATCTAGGCATAGCTACCATGTGCGGGAGATGATCTTTATACGCCATACTTACTGCTGTTAGAGAAGTGGGCAAGGCGTCCATGGAAGGGAAATGGGAATCCTCCATTGATACCCTTCATTAAATGTTCCTCGGCGATTTAAGTTATCTCAAACGGCCCGGATTCTATGGCACCAGGCAACGACTTTTGCCTTTCAATTGCCCGTCTTCGCTCATCAAATGCACCAGTGTGGAAATGACCTCCAATTACCCGGTTAATTACCCGGTTAGACTACCCTGTAAAGAGAATGTTGCAGGGTGTATTAGCCAGCGCGAGGGATATAGCCTGATTCACTATCCTTTATTCATACTGGACTTTATCTAATAGGCCCACCTGTGCCAGTAACAGCAAATGCCAGCGAGATGCGATTTTTGTGCAAGTTAAGATGACTTCTCTCCGCCTATCTTGACTTGACTTCCAAGTGGTGTGATTGGTTAAGCCTCGGTGTCTTGGTTAAGCCTCGATGTCTTGGCAAACCCTAGTGTCATTCTGCGGCAGCCTCATGCCGTCCCGTTGCCCATAATGGGGTCCACAAACCGAGGGTTGTGAATAGCCTACTGCTTAAAGTGATTTCTGCAGGCAGCAGAGATTTGCAGGCTTGTACGGGTGAGGAAGTGAAGATCATATATCCTTCCTAGTAGACTATCGTGCGGCGCTACGTTTCTATGTGAACGGGGATCTTCATAGGATGCAGTTTGGCGGTTAAATTCTATAACTTATGTACTACCGAGGTTAAGCTTTTCACATTCCAAAATATATATAAAACCAAACTATAGCTGCCCCTAGAAAATCTCCGTTCGGGAAACAGGGCCAATTATATTCAGCTCTAAGCCGTTTGTGGAACATTCTAACGGTATCGTAGCTGGCAAAGGGAAACTAAGACATGCACATTACTCTTAAATTAAAACCTACCGTGGCCTTCCTGTGGACCATTGCCACCCTGAACAAGGCAATGATCAAATTGATGGCCATAGAGATGAGCCTAGATTTTTCGTCTCTACTGTCTCGAATCTGGTTATAGTGACTCGAGGACGTAGCCCCGGGCGTTACAACAAAATCCTGGCATGGAGGCAGGCCCCCTCTGTTTAACTCTAAGATAGGGGGCGATTATCTCTATTCTTATGCATGTTGGATTTCCTAACAATAATAAGTCCCTAGGTATATAAGAATACTAAGGTGTAAATTCATAACTGTTAGCTTAGCAGCTTGTCTTATTGATGACGATATTTCGGAATAAAGACAGTTATCAATACATTAACCACAGCTGGGTTTATCATGGAATATGCCCAAGGAATATGGAATTTGTTATGAACACGCGATGGTAAGGTATTGTAACATCTATTTCAGCTATTCGTGATATATCTAATTTTAATAGTGAGTCCTCGGTGTTTTGTCCGCTGTTTGTTAGAAAAGGATACCTATGAAGCAGGGATTTTCATGACTTTGCGTTGTATTTCCCTTTACCTAAAACTGCGTGCCAACTCTCAAAAAATATGTTGAATGCTGTTCAATCTGATCAGTAAACGCGGAGAATTTGCTACCTAATTGCGTGCTCATACAATGACTGATTGTCTAGAAGGTTTCATGTTAGCAGTAGAGCATATGTTACTGTCTGTATCTAAAAGGTTGTTGTTCGATTATATCTTCTTGACTTGGGTAAATTATACTTAATCCTTTCGTCGAGGAGTATTTGTGTTGTGGATGCCACTGATTTCTTACATTGAATACAATAAAGACCGTTCTCAAGCACATAAAGCAGGAAATTACAGGATGGTGATAACTGGCAAACTGAAAACTTGGCAATCAAACGGTTGTTCTATATGTACATGACGGGAAATAGTTGTGTATACGATACTGATTGAAAATTTGCATTTTGCTTTAGTTGCCAACAAAAAATCCAGTCATTGGGCCATGCAGAACGAAGCCACCTAAGTGGTGACAAATTTAGCAAGTCATAAACAACGCTCTGTAGAGGCCATGTCACTTGTTCCCTCGAAAACACACCATATAGGCATTAAGTAAAATTCCAGGAAATAACTGGGCGAGCGCCTTGTATTTTGATTACACAGCTCCGTGTGAATAAATTGACCCCCAATTGTACTGTAGATAGTGGATGGCAAAACGCGGCCAGAAGACGATTATAATGGAGGCGACCCCAAATTCAAAAGCTTTACCGAACCTAGACACAAGTAGACTGGCGTGGAAACACCGGTACGTATCGTTGTGCTTACTATTTATCCACGACGTCCGCAACTAAGACGGCCGTAGCATTCCTATTTCGAACACAACAGACATGTCATTCGTATAAATGATGAAACCAACGCATAAGCCGTGTGCATATGCCTCCTCAGTTTGCTGATGTCCTGGTCCAATTTCATTAACTTCCTCACCGCGAACTAAGCCGTTATTATCTTGTACTCCACCGTAGCCGCTACTTCCTTATCCATTTCTACGAACTCCCCAATCAATGCCAGGTTTCTAATTCCATAAGGAATAATTTGGGGGCGATATCCCGGCCCCCTTGGTAGTAGTGAAGCCGACATGCGAGGCACAATGCAGGGAATCGTATTTGCATCAGGTAGTATATCCTCTACCGGGAATCTTAAGTGGAGTAGTAGTTCGGTCATTATCTCCTCACCAGAACAATGGAGCATAGGCTTATTGATGAAATTCCCTTGTAATGAGGCCGAAGGCCGTATCCCCGTAGGTTTTAAGGGTCATCCGACTGCTGCAAGCACAACTTGCTTTACATCATACTTAACACGTGAGTAGGACCCGCTCATTGAATTTGACGCACCGCCCCTCTTGCCGCATATGAACACTGTAGATCTAGAATGATCATGTTGTGGTACAATACTAGACGGCGACATATAGCAAGCAGCATCGCTTCTGGGACAACGAGAGATGTTAATGGAGCGGTAGAGCTGGGGTCCATGTATTAATTGACTGCCCCCGTGGCCAGTAAGGCAGCGACAGGAGCCACGACGCAAGATTAGAAGAGCATTTAGCAACATTTCAGATAGATGGGTCGAGCAAGACAACGTAAGGAAGGTAGGTTAGACGATGCCCCGCAGGACTAAAGCGCAATATTAGGCTTTGCAGAGGCATCGCAGAGGTTTCAGAGCCGCGCGCCACAGGGCCGCTAAACGGCTCCAAGTTCATTGGAAAGTAATGGTGTATTGTACATAAACATATATAAGGACTAGATAATGTTACCCTGCATATCGCCTAGGCGAGAGGTCAATGTATGGATTTAACACCACTGTATAATTGCAGGTTAAGGACCGTGATGAGTTACGCGTGGTTTCTCATGGCGGCCACTTTCCCAACCCGTTGGCTTATATGCAAGGTGAAAGCGCTGCGAAATAAAGGAAGTGGGCTGATACGGGTAATATGTTCTTTGTCTGAATTATGAGGCTTACCGCCAGCGGCCGCCCTATATACTTCGATATACAGCAGTAAAAGAATGCCCATGCTCGCTGCGCTAGTCCGTCGGTGTTACCATACTATCACTAAAGGTCCCAATAATATGACTGATAATATTGAAGTCTTTCAACATCCATACGGACATATTTCTGAGTCTCAGTGGACTTTTCTGCTTCCCGTTTGGTGCCGCTCATGGAGGGAAGATGAAAGAAAAGTAGTTCTTAATCTGGGTGATGTTCTTCATTAATTGCCTTGACTCGGATTATTCTGTAAGGGTACGGGAGTCGGATGGCGGAGTAAGAGTTCGTGCCGTCTAATCTGACTATGAGCATAACAGAAGAGGGAACAAAAAAGAATTTTTTAAGAAAAAAACCATAGAGAGACATGGAGACATACAGAAACACCAATAGAGATATTTACTAATGAGAGGAGCCCAGATGGCCACGGCGATAATTTGACCGAAACTCCACGAGTCGATTGCGATGGTTGGAAGACTGAGTGCTACGATTCCGAAAACGTAAAAGAAGTTGGAGGATAGAAGGAGAATTTCAATGATCGCAGTTAGTGTTCTGGAAACGAACCTAACTCTTTTGGATACTAGCCATGGATAGGCTCGGTGGTAAGTAGCTTGAAACGATGGCTTTCGGTTGAGCCACCTCTTGGGATAGAGGGCGAGACGTTGCAAGGCGAGGATTCCATATATCCCAATACATACAAAATTCAGGATGTCATCTGTTATCCCAAAGAATATAAGGGCCATAGCGCTAAAGTAATAATCGGAATGTGACCGGCAATATATAAGGGGAGGAGGGTGATAGCCACATTTGTCTAGATGACTGGCGATTGCAATACTCTGCAAATTGGCCGCTCTAGGTTCCATCTTACATAGATGGAGAGTGGCACTAGACACCACTATCGTAATAGCTGACCATAGAGAAATATACCACGAATGTAAGTCAACCCTGTGTAGAATCCATAGGCCATGTGTGATCGGAAGCACACCCATTAACGCCACAGCCTTGACCATGGAGGTGCTCGATGTAAGCTGCGCCAAACTAGTTGCTTCATAGAGCTGCGGGCCAGCCACAAGAGCGGTCAGGGCAGCAAACTGAAAGGACAGCATGTAGAAGCATTGAGCCTCCTGAAACTCCACTAATGTGAACTTAAGGGCGGAGAAGTGGCGGTGTCGTACGCATCGTGTGGCTTTCGGAAAGAATTTTAGTATGAGTACAGCGAAATGGATAAAGGCAAGGATGCCAGATTGCATCGCAAATGAGAGCAACACCTGGGATTCACGCGAAAAGATAAATATTAGTAAGCCATGCAGTCAAGATACAGAACTTTCTAGGCAGATTCACCCCCACACCACTAATATCCCGATTTGCGTTAACGTTGATACTACGACAGGTCACAGTTTCGAACTCTGGTTCGGGGTGGGCGAACAGGCGATAAAACTCGTCCGGAGGGTACCCCTCTGAACTGCATCCCTTCAACTGTGGATCTGGCATTTGGCAGTACTGGTCAAGGCACTTCCCGATAAGGGCCCCCAAAGTACTGTTGACATGCAGATAGTAGCGTTCTGAGGATGGACCAGAGTTACCTGTGCGCTCCCGGAGACCGACGACACTAAAGCACCTAGCCAAGGTATTGAACGATTCGAACACCTCAGATGGGTCCATGCAGGAAGCGGCCGTTAGGTCAGATTGGTCCCTTGCCATTATCGGTTAAACGAGGAAGTGGCACGTATTGGAGGAGATTCATGGGTTGTTGGCTTTGTAAAGAGCAGAACCAGTAAACGCCAGAGATTAAAAGTTTATGTTAGGTTGTGCCTTTTCTCGGATCCCTGAGACCAGACTTATGCTATTAATAAATCCTCAAACATTGCTAGTTCTTTGTTAATCCAATCAATGGGAAAGGAAGCAGTGAGACATCCGCTAAGTGGAGTACCACTTTATCTGTTAGGTGGGTCATTTTGGGTAAAACAAGTCCTACATTCGTTAATTGGTTATTTGACTGGCATAGCTGAGCTAATTATCCTATTTTAGGATAACCCATGAAACCTACAAAAACGGTTCGAGAGTTTCACATAAACCAATCATATACTTATAATGTCAAATTGTCCACCAACATATTGTTGTCGTGGCATCACGGTACTACACATGGAAATGTGGTCACGTGCATACATATTGCGAACTGTCAGATAAGATTATAAGATAAGAGACATATGCCCTGAAACGAAGGAACTGAGTGAAAGGGTTACTACCGCCCGCGATCTGTCCGCAAAATGACGCTGTGATCGCACTGCCAAAGCCTTCGCTCTGATTGGCTGTGCTTTTATGCCAAGATGTTCCCTCATTGGTTGTCATATTTCACGGTAACATGATCTCCTTCTCCATGATTTGCTGTTTTGCCTAGGGTTCATTTCGTATCTAGGCGTCCATTATACATTTTTTTAATGTACAAGGAGATTCTGCTGCTTTCTATACCCATGTCTTAGCTTAGTATTAGTATTTTCAATGTAACTGATTTTGGAACCTAAACTCTTTCATGTTATTTATTTATTAATTATCCTTGTATATATAAACTGTCCGCTCTCCCCCCTCCACCCTTTACAACCATCAGGAAGAATATAAGGATCATGTAGGTGAAAAAGTCTCTCTCTGCAGCCTCTGTATATGTAATAGCAACTGTATCTATACTTGCTTTTTTTAACATTTTAAATATCCCGTACTTATGGCCCGCCCTGTAGTCTGATCTTTCTTAACAATGAGTGCTTATTGATATGGCTTCTATCTGTTCTGGGTACCTGAGACTGTGGGATCAAACTCAATATAAGACTTGTGATACTTGCCACTGTCGCTTAATACTGTGGCCCTCAAGTCACCACCTGAATCCAAGGTCATAATCTTCTACTCAAACTTCCATGAAAATATCCTTACGTATATTGGGACTATTATTATCCATTAAACAACAAGGATTGAGCGTTGTGCTGGCCTTTTGAGGAAAATAGCTGACAATATAACTTTCTACACTTAGGACTTTTATAACTGCTTACCTTCTAAGTAAACATGGAAGTATATTTATCTTTTTGAAATACTGCTCTCCGGAAGCTTGTCTATCTCTTGATTTTAGTTATCTAATATAAATACTCATTCTTCTCTCTTCTTTCTACTTTACAGACCCAATCTATTGTACCTTGTTTGACTGGGCCACCTTTCTTGTGCAATCCTTATCTGTCAATAAATTCAAACTACAAACTCGGATAGGATTCTTTGCTTCTACTAATATCTTATCGTTTCAGGGCTTACGGCGTGCGGCAGCGCGCGTCACTAGTATACCAGGTGTTTGTCCCACAACTTGACTCAACACAATAATGTGACCGGTTTCCTTCCCCGTGACAGTGCTGGGCCTCTCTCTTTACTGGTCAGTTACTGGACCCTCTGGTATATAGACGTCTGGCTGGCTCCGTCTTCTCCCTGTCCCCTCTCTGTTCTCCTCCTGCCTCTGACCTCTGATCAGCGTCTGTCCTACATACAGCGTTATACAAGTATTATCCTAGACCGTGTCCTGTGTCCCTATGTCTGCCGGCTGCTAAGATGATTGGTTGATTTTGCTGCGGGGGGAATACTTGCGAGCAAAAGAGGAGAAAAGGAAGGAGGGAGAAAGAGATAGAGAAGAAGAAGAAAAAGAGAGAAAAGAGAAAAGAGTAAATATAGAATAAATATATATATTACACGTACAGCTCGTCCTCCCTCACTGTCGTTAGTCTAGTTCTATTGACTGTCTTAATATAGTCTTCTTCCTGAGCTGTTCTATAAAATTCTCTATAACTTAAGAGATCTATTTCAGATATTACTAGATATTCTAAATAGCTTCTTTTTTCTATATATCTGTCTACTCTGGCTGCTTGCGCCTATAGAAGCATGCGCGATACAGGACCTATAGAACCTGCCAGCACTGTTTATCCCAAATAGCTTCTATTAGTCCTGTGCTAGTCCAGTATTAATATTCGCTAAATCTTCCAGTGCCAGAGACTTAACTGGCTCTTCCTTAATAGAAGACTGCAGCCTGTCCAGTACTGTCTCTGTCCTGGATACTGCGGCATTACTAATAGCTACCCTTGATTAAGTTAGTCCGGCAGTCTATTTACTCATAGTATAAGCAACCCTGGCTGTTAGTAGTAGTAGTATATCAGATATGCTACTATTACTGTGCTAGGGCCGCTATTACTATAAGATATCTATTCTGCATAATGCCTAATATCACTCTTTTATTTACAGAGGAAGATAACTAATACTACAGCCAGAGACATTACTATTTACTGTATCTACTATTCTCTAATAATCTGTTAAATCTACTCCTGCTGTCAGGGTGCGGGCTCGGGCAGGCAGGCTAACAGAGCTAATACGCAGGCAGGCTACTGGTCAGGCTATATACAGGCAGATAGACGAGACGTAGCTTAAGAAGCTACAACAGGATCATGATCAGGCAAGAAGATAAACAGTCAGGATCACATGATAAAGCGGTGGGGCCAGACAGAATAAGTGGTCTGGGCTAGCACTATGACAGTACTCCCTCTCTTATAGCTGAGCTCTGTTGAGGCCAGACCCTGGCTTATAGGGGTAACAGTGATAGTAGTTGGCAACAACTTGCTTTACATGCTCCAGATACTCAGCAGGCTTCTTGGTAGGTTAATCATAACCAGTCTATTTTACAGTGTATTTCAGGCATAGTCTACTATGTTCCTAATATTTGTGGCAGGAATCTAGGATTTCTTTAACTTGCCATTTCTCTAGTCTATTAACTTTAACAGATAGTGGGGAATTGATACTCTGTCCTGAAACAGGATCTTCAGCAGCGGGATAAAGCAGTTGAGGGCACTGCCCTGTGTTATTTCAAATAGGGGAACAGGAAAAACTAGCAGTTAAATCATTGAAATTCATGGTGGAACCAGAACCATTTGGCACAGAGAACAGGCCCTTCCAACGTCCTTGGAGCAAGGTGATACTAGACGAGGTACAACCGTAATCGCTTCATGTCTGTTAGAACAGGTATACCCACATAGATGAATTGCTCAAGACTTTGACGTACTGGTAGAGTTCACAGATAAACCCGGCTGGGACAATAACTGACGAGACTTCATGGTAACTATTCAGATGCCGAAAAAACAGACAGATTAGTCAAACTTCTGTCTGGCTATCACTGTACAGTTTCCCTGGCAAGGTTAGAGCACTTACAGTAAAGTAAGACCACCTTTAAAGTCAACACAAGTATCAGAGACTATTGGAAAGTTGATGCAAGTGCCGCCAAAGTTAACATCTGTGCAGAACCCTATCTTGAATTGAGGTCAATAATGCTCTTGTATCTAAATTCGAGAACACGTAAGGCTTACTTGGGGCGATGCTGCCGATGCAAGTCCACTAAGGACAGCCGCAAGCGGGGTAAGTTGGCTAACTTTGACCATTGTGACTGCTTCGCTGGACAGACAATCTGTTTGAAATGGAAAGTCGAGGTAGTTGTGAAAACGACTTCAACGCGGGTAGTGGATCGGGAGGGAATGGAAAGAACCTAAATATGTCGACTTCGTGGACCGTAGAAAGGGGTGCCTGTGTATCTCACCATGAGACCAGCGTAATTGAACCTGTTATTGAGAGTCAAAATAGCCGATTGGAGCACTCGCTTTGGCAAATAGGTTGGCTCTGCATCATTCTACCTGCAAGAACTCCGATTGGTTCGGCCATGGACCTACAATTGGGTCCTGCTAGAGCTTGTGCTTGGCATGTCTCAGCTGCGGCAAGAACACGTATAAAGGTTGCAAAGGGAAGGGAGTGCTGTGATTTAGACTAGCCTTCAAAGCAAAAATTGTCATGTATGAGGCTCGATCAAGTAAACGATAGAGCTGTGTATACAGAAGTTAATCCATATAGATGCAGACTGGTTACCCCCCAATCTGATATTTATATACGAGAGCTCGAGTTTTCAGATGAGAATTCGATATACCTAAATTTGCAGACTTATTTGTACCTATTAAAAGAGTGGTATTTTCCCGTCAAATACAGTCACTAAAAACCCGATGGCGGAGTTGCGTTTTGTCCATGATTCATACGGCGGGAAGGATAGCTTGGTACACCGCAGCGGAAAATCAATAATGGCTGGCTGGCCGATGTTGCATTGACAAGCGTCTAAGGTTAGCGGTATCCTTCTTCCGTGGAGGTGCTGTGGGGCAATTGGCATGTGCTTTAACGAATGAAACATACTCATGGTGGGAAAGACCATCGTCCTAGGCGGCTTCCAGCACTAGCTATGCCACTAACAGCCTTAGTAACTCGGTTAACTGGTTTAAGCTGTCATGGTGCTCGCGACTCTAGCTGAGAGCGAGGTGGTTGCTGAGCCTGATCAGCCAAATCCATGGGATCGGCTTTCTAGTCCCAAAGGAGAGAGTTCTCCGTATACGTCGGCACGGTCCGGAGGAAAAGCGAGTTCTAAGTATGTAGGGTTTAATACAAGTTGAAGAAGTAAGAGCAGTAAACGGGCTTCTTGACGGTTTTAATCAGTTCTTTCTCTAGGAACAATTAAACAGAACTAGGGCCATGATTTGCTACAACCGCTGCAGAGTTTGCGTATAACGCCGCTAGGCATATTTTTGGACAGCGCGATTATGATACTTTTCCTTAGCCCCTGTCTCAGCGGCACCGTACAGAGACAATGTGTAATAGTCACACGAGGCTGCGGCTTCGGTCTAGGCCATGATCTGACTCGCATCAGGGCTAAGTTAACGATGTCACATCACATGAGCGCTAGCTAGACTGGCTGACCCATTCCGCAAATCCATACCCGCCCAGCCAATCCGCAATATTGGTGAGTTAGGGTTGACACTGATCCAACCCGCATGGGTATGAGTTTATGGCATCCAACCCAGTCATGTCATTTCGTTCAATCATAGCCCTGCTCACTCCCTTCCGCCTCAGGGCTTCCCCACTTTTTCGCCTGGGAAGCGTCTGATGAATCTCCAGCTCGCCACATTCGCTCAGCTAGCATGCAACAAAGTGCCCCGTTCCAGTCTCTAGAGAGATACACAAGCGCCGTTCCCACGCCACGAATAAACCACCGTTGGTTTGCCAAACATAAGAACCGACCATGCTGTACTCATAGTATACCGCCCTCCATCTCTGTGGCTGCAGAGAACATTTGTGATACAGCTGTAAATTTCGTAACCCACTGGTCTTCTAGTGAGCACGCCTTGGAGACACTCTAGAGGAGTTCCACATTAGAGCCAAGCTCTCCATCGTGCTGGATGCTCTCTGTTAGACTAAGGTGGCGACCAATCAGGATCCACCCAAGACAAGTCCAAAGAGGCGCTTCTTTCTGCTGTTATTTCTCCCACACCTAGCTGATAATTTGAAACTACGTGACTTAGGTAGCTATCAGGTATTTGATCACTCCAAAACTTACACCTTCACGTGCAGTAACCAACCAAGAGCAGGGCTTGCATATCAAATCTACAGAGACCTTTGCTACGAGAATTGCACGGCTAGCGGGGGAAATCGACACACTTAGAGCAGCAAATGAGGAGTGGAAGGGTCAGGCGGCCAAGGCAGAAGTTTCAATGCATGATACGCGAACTAAGCCACACGAAGCACATGCTGTGGCTGAGAAGCTCCAGATAGAGGCTGTGGATTTTCAACGCTCCCATGAAACGCTTCTCATGGTGCAGAAATATCAGAATGCTGCAAAGATTTGGATCAAACGCTACAATATCTGTAAAGGCAGTAGAGGAGGCGAAAAGGTAACTAAGCCACGTACCCTAAAGCTGAGAAAGGAAAAAGATACTCTTTCTAATTGTACATGTCAAAGCACCTAACCTAGTAAATAACATAAAGTCAGTATTTAGATTTCTGGTCCTAATTGCACATGAGCTGCTCCCCACACAACTGCAATCATTTGCATACCCAATATCTCAGACTGAGCAGTAGAAGATATGCGTGGGTTTAGAACACTGGTGCATCAGCCTGCTTATTGTTATGTTCGTTTACACACTAACTGCAGATTCTGCCTTGCACTGACTGCTTTGCTACAGACCTTGTGATAGAATTATAGTTATAATTATAAATTTTTATAAATAGAGTTATTTAAATATATATATTTTATAAGAAGCTAGCTCTATATATACTGTATTAGTAGTTCTTTATACTTATTTCTTAAAGTATAATATTAGTATTGTAGCACTATGCTTAAGTATTCTTAAATATTATCTAGAGTATATAAAATTTTTAGCTTGTATATTAAAGGTACTAATTCAGTCTACTACAAAGAATATTCTATTTAAGATATAATTAACTCTCGCAAGACGAGCGGTTATCGCCCAGGACGGTATTTCTATCACTGATTGTTCCACAAGCAGTGCGCTATCGTTTCGCTGGAATCAGGGTCTGCATTCCTAAAAAAAGCTAGCTTGAGTAATATATTGAAAACTCATTTGCGAAGGATTCGACAGTAGCGCGAGGAAAGCCGGGGACTCTGCCGAGGCACACACAAGACATTCTCAGCACTATCCACAAAGTTTAGCTTGCTAGACGCCCATACCTCCGACTAATTTAGTTGGGTTGACCAAGCGGACTTACTTTCGATCAATGTAGTTTCATCAATGATCTTTGGGTTCTCAGACTGTTGGGAGGTGCTCAAACTAGAGGTTTGCTGATGGCGGAGGGCGCGCTTCAAGCCCGGAAGAGTCGGAAGCGTCATCTTTGCCAGCGGAAGACCCCGAACGGGGACGATTCTGCACTTTTCCAGATATCCTTCCACATCATAACAATCAAACCAGTCACCTCGCATATCAGGGTCAACTCGTTCTGTCGCAACCTGTATCATGCTCGGCTGGAATGAAGCATTGTCGGTGAGATAGCTCCTCTGCTGGTGTTGAAAATGCGTCCCTGCGCCACCAATACTTATGAAGGGAACATTCAGCTCCATAAGGGCTCCGTGATATCCATCGCTTAGAAACTTCTCGAAGTGCGCTCTGATATGTTGTAGCGGAAACAGTTTCATCGGAAGTCTAAATTTGTACGCGAGTTCCTCGAGTTCCTCGAGTTGGTGCGACGGATTTGTTAGACACTGATATCCTCGCTCGACACATGCACGGTAGAGTCGATGGGCGAAACTTGCTCGTTCCAGAATATGCGTGCCAGACAGGGGGGTATTAAAGAACAGCGGCGTTGGGTAAAGGCTTGTCGCTTGTGTTGGTATTTCCGGTACTGCAATGTCATGTTTTGGAGTCACTGCGAAGGGGTCTTGGCTGCTATCTTCTCGCTGAGCCTGTACAGCAAGCTCTTGGATGTCAGGAAGAGGGATCTCGGCGACATCGTATAGGTTGTCGTTAGCATTAGCTACATCCCCTTCCGTCGTATCAACAACCCCTCCGCGTGCTCTTGTCTCTACCGCATTTCCCTCAGTATCGAGGGGGTCAGCGTCATCTGCTGCCACAGAAACGACCCGATTTGCAAAGGATAGAGATTGCGCTATGGTTTGGTGGAGCCTCAGCGCGACATCTGGACATGTTGACAGCACACCGGATTTAATCAGATCATCAGTGAAGGATAGAAATGTCGCATTCATTTGTTCGACGAGCATTTCCAGTTCATGGACCTGAGTCTTCAGTGCCTGTAGCTCGGCCTCCTTTCGTGAACGATAGGCACGCTGTGCTAACCTGACCTGGGTCCTCCGCCTCTTTGCTTCCTGATTAGCGTTCCTAGATTTTTTGACGCCTGCAAAAACCTTACATTTGGGGACATATCTTGTCTGATCTGGCTTTTCGGACGACCCCTTTTCCTCCGCCCAGTATGGCACTCATCAGGAGAAGGGGTTCTCGAATCCACCATCTTTGACGAACGAGGGGGTCTAGATGAAGATACTGCCCGTCACTCTTGCTCTGGCCTGTCTGGAGAGATCAAGCAGTCTCACCTTGGAAGGTGTAGGTCGCTTAGTGAAGGCTCTCCGTGACGGGTGAACGCCGTTTTGCCTAAAGCGCTTAGAAAGGTTCGCCAAGCATGCGTAGGAGAGCACCGTCAGGGGAAAGATGATCGAGGCCGTTTATTTTACCGTCTTAGTATCATTTGTATCTGGTCTCTTCTTCGAGAGGCTTGCCACCAGTCGACCGCTGACGGGGCAATGGCGAAATATGGGGCGAACTTGGGTTGAGGTTTGGGTGACTAATCCTTGGATCAATGCCCACGTCCAGTACTGACATCATTTGTTACTGCTCGGTTTTGATTACTATTCATGCCCGACTCGAAAGGGGCCATGTCCGAATTTTTGGAATCACGTCTTAACGAATATTATTATTATTATTATTATTATTTGGATTCATACGCTGACCCCTCGCCTAGGTGATATGCAGGATCCCACTATCTAGTCCTTACATATATGTCTAAGTACATGAACCACTACTTCCCGACAAATTTAGAGCCTCGTCACGGCCTGTGGCCTACATGTCTGGTGTTATGTTCTGCGGCCCTGTGGCTCGCGGCTCTGAAACCTCTGTGATGCCTCGGCGAAGTCCAGTACTGCGCCTAAGATGCTACTGTCTTGCATATCATCCTGCTCACCTTGCTTACCTTGTTATCCTCCTCCCAGTATGTCTGATATGTCGTTAAATACATTGCCAGTCTTCCTCCGCAGGGTTTGGCGGAGACCTCGTAGTCTCGGGCAGTCAACTAGGACGTGAACGACCGTCCTTAACGAAGATTACGACGCAAAATTGGCACTGGTTACTATTCCGCTTGCCTTGAACACTCGAATACCCTGGGGGCCAGTAACCGGCACTCGAGATCCTTAACTAGCCCTTTGATCTACGAACTGACAGCCCAGTAACGTGTCGAGTTATCAGCTCGACCAGTAATCGTTGTTACATGCCGGCTGAATGAATGCATACATTTAATATTCAGCCTAATTCATTTCACTATAGTTTCTCAACATACTCATAAAAGGTGGAATCATGTCCCGAGTTCTTCAGATCTCCATTCCGCTTTTATGGACGCGGGAGTAGTAGCAGTAACCCTTATCATTTGCCCATGGTCTCTATCCATCATCGCTTACGCCGGCAGTGAGGTTGTGAACTTTACCAGCAACAGCAACAGCACCAGCAACAAGCTTTATAGTAAGGCGATCGCTCGTGATCAGAATCGTCTGGATTATTCGTCCTTAATTTGCCATTCGCGACTGTACCAGGCAACGTCCGTAAACCTGCCAGCGACATCAAGTAGGACGGACGACTTGGGCGTATTTTGTGTGCACATCCTTCCCCAAAGCTGAGTGCACAGGAAGGCCCCAAGGGCCAACACGGTGGATAACAAGTCAGGTAATTCTCTGGATATCCCCGTTGCCCTAACACCGGGCATACACCCAAGATATGAAGGCGACGAATGTGAACTTGTATCGAACTCTGAAATCTAAGGTGGTACGGTTTTGCGCATTATTAAACATCGGCAAACATTTTTGAATGCACACTCGAGCCCCTTTCACCTCTAACTTAATAGGTTATGCTACAGCCGTTTGAGGGCTGAGTCGCCTCCAATACTCGTGCCTCGATGAGACAAGAATACAATCTCTGGTTCATGATTACTATGCTGCGGAATTACTAAACCCTAGATTAAGCCCACAATCAGTTACACCTTGCGAATTGCCTGTGTAGAGCGTATCTAATCTAGACACGGCGCAATACATGCAATAGTGATGCAATTCAATTCGTTATACCATCCCTTTACTTCCAAGGTGTCAAGTGTAGTAGATAGGACCCATGTCCAACTCATGCCGTACTTTCCTGATGGCAAACTCCGCCAGCCAACTTAGTTCTGCTACGAGGTCTGCCATATCCTTAATGTTCGAAGCCTCTTTTTCCGACATATTGAATGAGAGAATGTGTTCCATGAGACCTACCGCCACCTTCAGAAGTCTTGCATCATCTCGGTACGAATGGAGTGGGTCATGAAGGATGTTGCAGAATCCAGTGAGAAGTACCGCCATAGCGTAGATGACCAGAACCCTTAACATCGTTGGTTTTGGTGAGCAACGGATCCAGTTAATTTAAAGACTATATAAAGAGAAAACTTTTAACCATACCAGAAAGCCCAGCCGACCAGTACGCGTTCCGCCCATTTTAGATAACGAAGAGTCGATCGACTAACCTCAACAGGAAGAGCCAGACTCGAGCTTAATCCGCCTTCCATTCTGTGGCCTTTAGCAGGCGCTTTGCACTGAATGCTTGCTTGGTGGATGGTAATTATGCACATGCAGTAATTAAAGTGCAACATGACCGAACGAATGCTCACATTATAGTCAAACTTCTCCCCATTGGATGACATACTAGGACGCCTATTGGGGAAGATGGGACAGCCGCTACTCTTCCAAAGAGTCATCCAATTCCCGCATTGTTTTCGAGAGATCGGCATCAGATTTCTCAAGGGCTTTCACCGAGTACAGCTTGCTATGTACCTTTGATTTGATCAGGCTCAGGCGTAAGTCGAAGGGGAACACTGGCCCAGCTTCGTCGGTAATCATCGGGGGTTGCCCTATGTGGGGGAGATATCCTTGTCTACTGTGTAGCAGATCCAAAAAAGATTGCGGAGTTGTTCCCATTTGTTCTCTCCGCAGTCACCATAGGAAGACACTCGATTGGGGGCAATATTAGCAACTAGTATCATGAGTTGACAATTGGCAATAGATAAAAGATAATCAGCGGCTGCCAGGCTCCCTGACAACAGCTCATAAAGTGTCTATAGCGTAGGTCGAGTTGTTAGCACCGACTTGACCATTCAGACATTACATTAAGGAGAGTAGAAGACCTGCCGGAATAGTTGCTGCCTGTGCTATGTCCAGGCTTGCGGGTTCTTGGAAGATTTGGGTCAGAAGAAGTTGGCTCTTAGAAGCCATGGTACCATGGTCGACGGTTGGGAAAGGCGTGATGCTCAAATGGATCGCGACCGGAGGGAGACGGGCGGCAAAGCTAAGAAAGGCGAGAATGCACGTTCTGCTGCTAGCATGCGCCTTTCTCAAGCCCGACAGCCGTGGCCAATACACGGCCTTAATTGTTTCTTCAAACAGTTCGGCCTCGATGATTGGAAAGATTCGCATCATAGGGGATTTCCTATAGGCGTCAAGGTACAGGCGCACAACCCACCAGTCCAGAAGTTCACGTATCTGGTTCGGCGATCACGCTAAAATAGGACTGAATTCGTGGTCCTGTTCATCCTGCCTTGATGCTAGTCTAGGACTTAATTTGTCGCTCGAGACAGTCAGCCAGTACAAGCTCGTACCCATTTCCGGATGCCTGGGAGAAGGTCAGGGATGACTGTAGGCAACATTATACGGAATATTTCTCTATCGCTAGGCCACACGCGCATCAAAATGAAAGCTAGGGCTGGTCCCTGCCAATAGTGCTTAGGGGGTTATCCACAAACGGGAGGCCATAAGGGGTTTGCGATATACGCAGTGGTACTATTTCATCAGCGCACTCCACAAATAAAGCATACATTTAGCGGACATCATTCTTACTAGAGCTGGCATTCCGCTTGAAATGTTAAGGCTAGAAGCTTCTCGAATCGTGTGATGCGCCCAGAGAGCCCAGTAAGTTTCTGCGGCCTATACAAGTTAGTTAGAACACGAGGGATGAGCGGCAGTAACCGGAGAGATAATTGCAATGGTCTTACTGACCGCTAAACCTAGCCTCTCGCCTCCGTTGAACTCGGTTATATGTGCAGGGAACGTCGCGGCCGTTGCACCATTTGCACTGCGGAACCGCCGTGTCACATTTGACCTAGGGGGTCAATCACAATGGTCATCGCCCAATATGTAAGATGTTCCATCTTTCGCTTATAACACGAATCGCAGGCGCTTCTCGTGAGCTTATGTGCGCCGTCCGTTTGCATGGCTACCTTCATCTTCTAAGACAACATACAGGAGTGCACTCTGCAGACAGTCTGGAAGCCACTTTCATCTATGTTTATCTTCTTTCTGGTAGGAAATTGCTCAGTGATCTGGCCCGCCCGAGAATAAGTTAAAAGGCAGATTAGATTAGTCATTCAACAGAACTGTAGCAGAAACCCGACGGATTAGTAGGCTGCACCGCGTAAGAGTTTGGGACCCACAAGGTGGAGTTGTAATTAGGGTTAGAGTGGCGCGATCAAGCTCCACTTCTAATAACTCTGGAGACTGGAAAGACTGGAATATAGTGTAATCATCCCGGTCAAGCATGCTCCATGATTCATTTTGAGCCGGCTTCACTAACTCATCATACCTCGGGGAGGTTTAATGTTGAGTAATTGAATAAACATTGATCATCAAGCCAGGGAAGGATCTGATTCCTACTGATACCGAAGATATGGTACGGCGCAGGATGGGAGTTTGGTTGTAAATCCCTTCTTGGTCGTTTTCATTATAAAGTCGGGGACAATTACTGATTTCTCTCCTCCAGTATCTGGTCATAACACCGGCGGCTACACCACATCCGTCTACCGCCAAACATGGCGTCGGGTTCATCGAGCACGGATGACGAGTTGACAATTGCCGGGAATGGAGTACAATCTGCGGATGCCAAGGCTGATACTGAAAATTCATCCATCTTTCGTACGGGAACGACATGGCACATGGCGCCTGAATTGTGCCAGATCAGGGAACGAGACAAAGATGGCGGAGAGAAGCCCAAAATGCTCGGTGTCGCTTGGCACGACCTCACCATCAAAGGCGTTGGCGGCAACGCCATGTTCAACGAAAACGTCCTTTCACAGCTTTTCCCTTTCCATGGCCGTGGCAAAGGTGCCAAAACCAGGACCATTATCGACCGTTCATTTGGATGCGTTAAACCAGGGGAGATGTTACTTGTTCTGGGACGACCCGGAGCGGGCTGCACCACACTACTGAACGTACTCGCAAACCATCGTCTTGGCTACGAAGAAGTCACCGGAGACGTCAGCTACGGGAACATGTCTGCCGTGGAAGCCAGACAGTACCGTGGCCAGATTGTAATGAACACAGAGGAGGAAATCTTCTTTCCAACCTTGACGGTTGAAGACACCATCGATTTTGCCGCTCGCATGAAGGTCCCATATCAACTACCGCCCGGGATTACAAGTCATGAGGAATATGTTCAGCTCCACAAGGATTTTCTCCTGCGATCGGTTGGAATTTCTCATACTGCAGGGACCAAGGTTGGGGATGCCTTTATTAGGGGTGTCTCTGGAGGAGAGAGGAAACGTGTCTCAATTCTGGAGTGCCTTACGACTCGTGCTAGCGTCTTTTGTTGGGACAATTCGACAAGAGGCCTTGACGCCAGCACAGCTCTTGAGTGGGTCAAGGCCATCAGGGTGATGACAGACCTCCTCGGGCTCAGTACAATTGTCACCCTCTATCAGGCGGGTAACGGTATCTACGAGCATTTCGATAAGGTTCTGCTTCTTGATGAGGGCAAGCAAATCTTCTACGGACCTCAAGAGGACGCCGTTCCATTTATGGAGGGCCTGGGCTTCATGCGTGATCCGGGTTCCAACCGGGGTGATTTCCTTACGGGCGTGACAGTCCCCACCGAGCGTCTCATTTCCCCAGGATATGAGGACAAGTTCCCACGAACCGCCAACGAGATTCGTGCTGCATACGAGCAGTCCCATATCAAGCCCAGGATGCTGGAAGAGGCCCAGAGCTACCCGACAAGCAAAGAAGCGGCCGACAACACGACTGTATTCAAAGAAATGGTTGCTCGGGAGAAGCACAGGGGCGTGTCCGAAAGGTCCTCCGTCACAACTGGTTTTGTCACTCAAGTAACGGCCGCCATTATCAGGCAGTACCAACTCATGTGGGGTGACAAGGCAACTCTACTTATGAAGCAAGGCGCTACCGTTATCCAGGCCCTCCTGGGTGGTTCTCTCTTTTACTCGGCTCCCGACAATTCCATCGGCCTTTTCCTCAAGGGCGGCGCTCTTTTCTTCTCCATTCTATACAATGCCCTTATAGCCCTCTCAGAGGTTACCGACTCGTTCACGGGTCGACCCATTCTCGCAAAACACCGCTCGTTCGCGTTGTACCACCCGGCAGCCATTTGCATCGCCCAGGTTGCTGCCGATCTTCCGATCCTATTATTCCAGGTTACACATTTCGGCCTTATCCTATATTTCATGGTTGGCCTGAAGACCACAGCCGGGGCATTTTTCACTTATTTGGTCACCAACTTCATGACTGCCATGTCTATGACAGCCTTCTTTCGACTCGTCGGCGCCGCATTCCCTACGTTTGATGCTGCGTCCAAAGTCTCGGGACTGTCGATCGTAGCGCTGTTTGTCTACATGGGATATATGATCATCAAGCCTGAGATGCATCCATGGTTTGTGTGGATCTTCTGGATCAACCCTATGGCCTATGGATTCGAAGCTCTTCTTGGAAACGAATTCCATGACCAGATTATTCCATGTTACGGACCTAATCTAATCCCCAGCGGCCCTGACTACGTTGGCGAAGGGGGGCAATCATGTGCCGGTGTTGTCGGTGCCGCACCTGGCACGACAAGCCTGACCGGTGATGAATATCTTGCAGCCATGTCCTTTAGCCATAGCCATATATGGCGTAACTTTGGAATAATCTGTGCCTGGTGGGTGCTCTTCGTTGTGCTTACAGTTATCTTCACCTCCCGGTGGAAGCTACTTGGAGAAGGAGACCGTAAACTCTTGATCCCTCGAGAGTTACAGCAAAAATCAAAACATCTTTTGCAGGCTTCTGACGAGGAAGCACAACCCACAGAAAAGAGTGTCAGTCCCGGCTCTGATGCGTCGGGAGACAGCTTCGGAAACGATCTGCTCCGCAACAAGAGCATTTTCACATGGAAGAACCTGACTTATTCCGTCCCAACGGCTGATGGCGACCGTATCCTTCTTGACAATGTCCAAGGATACGTCAAACCCGGGATGCTTGGAGCCCTGATGGGCTCGTCTGGGGCCGGAAAGACAACCTTGCTGGACGTTCTAGCACAACGCAAAACTGCTGGGACGATCCATGGATCCGTCTTAGTGGATGGGCGTCCCCTTCCTATCTCTTTCCAACGCTCCGCTGGCTATGTCGAACAGTTGGATATTCACGAGCCATATGCGACTGTCCGTGAAGCCCTCGAATTTTCGGCGCTATTGCGCCAATCTCGCGATACACCCACTGAAGAAAAGCTGCGATATGTGGACACCATTGTTGATCTTCTTGAGCTAAATGACCTTGAACATACCCTCATTGGTCGGCCAGGCGCTGGTCTCTCGGTGGAGCAACGTAAGCGTCTTACTATCGGTGTGGAACTCGTGGCGAAGCCCAGTACCTTGATCTTCCTCGATGAGCCTACGTCAGGGCTTGATGGTCAGGCGGCCTACGATATAGTTCGATTCCTTCGCAAGCTTGCCGAAGCAGGGCAAGCTATCCTCGTTACTATCCATCAACCCTCGGCGCAGTTGTTTGCGCAATTCGACAAACTATTATTGTTGGCTGCCGGCGGCAAGACTGTGTACTTTGGAGATATAGGCCAGAATGCGAACACTGTCAAGGAATACTTTGGACGCTACGGCGCGCCTTGCCCACCTGAAGCCAATCCTGCTGAACATATTATTAATGTTGTGTCGGCAAGCGCGAGTCTTGATTGGAACCGGGTCTGGCTGGAGTCCCCGGAACATGGAAAACTCTCCAAGGAACTGGACTGCATGGTTGCTGATGCTGCAGCTCGACCTACTGCAGCAAACGAAGATCCACACGAATTTGCCGCTTCGCTCTGGACGCAAACCAAGCTTGTGACGCACCGCATGAATATCTCTCTTTTCCGGAACACCGAGTACCTCAACAATAAATTTGCCATGCATATCAGCTTAGCGCTGCTGAACGGCTTTACCTTCTGGCAGATTGGAGACGCACTTACGGATCTACAGCAGAACCTTTTCACTGTGTTCAATTTTATCTTCGTTGCTCCTGGTGTTATCTCCCAGTTGCAGCCGCTCTTTATTGACCGCCGAGACATTTTCGAGGCGCGAGAGAAGAAAAGCAAGATGTACCACTGGGCTCCCTTCGTGACTGGTCTTATAGTCTCGGAGTTCCCTTACTTGCTTGTCTGTGCGCTGCTGTATTACGTTTGCTGGTACTTTGCCAGTGGCCTTCCCACATCCGCTGACCATGCTGGAAGCGTCTTTTTCGTTGCAGTAAGCCCGCCCTCCCGGCTTCTGATTTCCTGTCTTTGGAACTCGACAGTTAACGCTTTCTCAGGTAATGTACGAATGCCTGTACACGGGCATAGGCCAGATGATTGCCGCTTACACACCGAACGCCGTCTTTGCCTCTCTGGTCAACCCTCTGGTGATTACCACCCTCGTCTCCTTCTGCGGAGTGATGGTTCCATATAGTCAAATCGTAGCATTCTGGCGATACTGGTAAGTCCCCGCATGTACAATGGCGCTGCAGATGATAACGGCTGTTTCCATTAGGATGTACTACCTCGACCCCTTCAACTACCTCATGAGCTCTCTGCTGGTGTTCACTACTTGGGACAAGCCCGTGCACTGCAAGCCCGAGGAGTTGGCAGTGTTTGATCCGGCTCCTAATTTAACATGCGGTGAATATCTCACTGTCTACCAGCGTGGCGCGGGGATGGCGACGAACCTTCTGAACCCGGATGACACCCTCGGATGCCGAGTCTGCCAGTATACTGAAGGTGGAGATTACCTGCGTACGCTGAACTTGCAGGGACGTTACTACGGATGGAGGAATGCGGGCATAGTCGTTGTGTTTGTGGTTGGCATCTACGGGCTTGTGTTCCTTATGATGAAACTCAGGACTAAGGCTACTAAAAAGGCTGAGTCCTAAGGCGCGAATGATGACCACAGTCTTGACCGGGCTGTCAGTATTGCCTTGCGGCGGAGTTGGTCCAGGGTTGGACGGTTGTTCGGAACCACCTAGATATGTTACAAGGCTATAGAACGGGGCAGATAATAATATATAGAGATATAGAGAAATCGCTAGCATTCTTGCTCATTTAACAGCAATATTTGGCGGGAAATAGTGTCTTTGTTATTCAGTTCGTGGAGGCGGTGGATGATATGGATGATGATAAACTACTTCAATTATGTTTTTCCGCAAGTGGAAAGAAGCAGATCTTTTGAGCTGCGGTAGTGATCACTGCTATAGTGTATTGAAAAACATGCCAGTTATCGGCGGATTACACGGCCTGCAGATGGCGAGGCATGGTATTTAGAAAGCAATGCAATTGCAGTATAATCTATCGTATTTCGCAATCGAGGAATACTGAAAGGGAGAAGAGGAGTTGGGGCTTCTTCCTGTTGTGAATCAAGGCTCGATCTGATAGACAATAGAGCTTCATATACGGAATCCATTCAGGATTGAATAAGATTGCTTAGAAATCAATATGATCTTCGTCTTGTATATTAACCCTCAAGTTTTCAGATGTGAATGAATAACAATCAACCTTCCTCTGAATTACAACACTTTCGAATGCCAATCTTCCTTCATCAAATATGTACTGTTGTGAATCGAGGCTTGATCAAGTAAACAATAGAGCTTCGCATACGGAATTTTTTCCGTATACAATCAGATTGATTGGAAATCAATCTGATATTCATCTTGTATATAAACACTCAAGTTTTTCAGATGTGAATAAGAACAATTGAATCTTCCTCTGAACCACAACACGTACAAACGGAGTTGAAGGTCTTAGAGAGTGTGATGCAGGGGAGTTGATACCCAATAGATCTTCGATAGATCTCCAGGACGCGGGTTCATTGTCTAAGCCTGCCCACAGGTTGGTTACCCAGGCTGGGTTTCGGGGGTATCCAACTCCTCCCACATGGGTTCTTAGCGAGTAACCATGCGACAAGTCTACTCCAAGGGACGACCCTTAAGCCACTCGGGGGGAAAGCCCTGGTCATGTGAGCCTTATGTAATCGTTGTAACCTCAGGCAACAATCCCCGAAGTTGCCATCATGATTGGCCAGGCTCTTCGTACTCTACGACGTGATCATCCATTATTTTATATATATTATGTCAGAGGGACCCTGGAGGAAGAGATGAGGCCCAAGGTGAGGTGAATTCTGCCTATCTGTATGATGGTCCTGGAGGAGGACGAACGACTACATACAGGAGGCGCGCATGGTCACGTGGCCTCTAACTGCTGCAGGGCAGGCACCGCCGACATATTATGATTATATGGACATTTTTCAGATTTTAGCCTAACTGCGCAGCTCGATCTGCTGGTCGATAACATCCCTCGTAATCTGCTCCAACGACCGCCAGTGCATCCCCAATTCCGTCTCGGCCTTGGTCGTATTAACGGGCCAAGACTCTCCGGCAATTTCCTCTGAGATCTTAAACCCAAGATGAGGGTACTCCTTCTTCACAATCGCTGCCACGTCCCTCCAAAAGGCCTTCTTCCCAGCGAGTAAGTACGATGACCCGTCCGGGATATTGTCGGCCAAGGCCTTGACATGGCCCTCGGCAACATCGTCGATATGGACAGCAGTAATGGAGACCAGTGGTTTCCCACCGGCAACGGTAAGGAAGAAAAGGGCGTTGGTGCCACTCATCTCCTCGGCGGTGGTCTGGAGGGGGTTGCGTCCATACACAAAGGCAGGGTGGATGGTCACAAGGGAGAAACTAGGGTTCTCGGTCTTCTTGAAGTCCCAGCTAGCTTGGTTTGCGAGGAGCTTAGAGGCGTGGTAGAGACTCATGCCCGTAGCTTCATCATTAGCACCAGTGAAGTCGGCGGTCTGGTCGACCGACAAGTCCCAGTCATTGTCCTCTGTCGGATGCGGTCAACATCTAGCCAAAATAATCAAGACAAAAGACTGCATCCAGCTCTGATGGCTCACCTTTAATGACTCCTCCCTCGGGAAGACCTGAGGGAGGTATTAAAGCAGCAATTGAAGAAGTAATAACCACCTTCTTAATGCTGCTAACCTTAGCAGCTTCCTTCAGGATAGCCATGGTGCCCTTAACGGCTGGGCCAAAGTATGTCTCTGGATTGGTTCCATGGGGCAAAGGCGAGGCAACGTGCAGTACGTAGTTGGCTCCATCTAGTTTTCCGGCAAAGGAAGACTGCTGTGTGATATCTGGGGTAATAACAAAGTCGATTTTGTCTTCAAATCCAGACAGGGCCGCCTTTAGATTGGGAATCTGTTCTTCCTTGCGAACGCTAATCCGCAGACTATAGCCAGCTTGTAGAGCCTTGATGGCGACAGCACTGCCGATAAAGCCCGTTGCTCCTGTGATAAAGACGAGGCCGGACGGCATGGTGATAGGATCAGATGCGAAATTCGGGGATAGATTCAGGCGGGATTATATAGCTCTGGCTGGCCGTTAAGAAAACATATGATTTAATCAAATGTAAAGGTGTGTTGAATAATCGAGCAGGGTTATTTGCTTGTTAACTGAATCTCAGTTCCAGATCTTATACTTTCCAGCTTTATACCTACTGAAACGTATCTGGTGATTCAGAATAGGACGATTATTGATCAATAGGTGATTAATCATAATAGTCATAGAATGCAGTGACGCCATACCCCGAGGTAGTTAGTTATTCGGGCCATATGACAAATCATGAAATGGTAACGTATTTCACTACCGAGCGCCGCACCTCTACTCGATTTCCACTATTCAAGGGCTTTTATCAACCAAGCAATTGCATTTGTTGTGATCTCGGAGGAAAGATGGGCAGGATGATGCTGTATCAGCTACACGTACGTAGCCTACTGAGGACCGGATGCCATTCCGATAGATACTCAATTCTATGGACGACTACCTCAACTATCTTAAGTGCTTCTTATCAACTACCAATGGGTGAATGAAGCCTTCAGGGGCTGAAGTTAGGTGATCCGGCCAAGCCACTAGGATCATGTGGTCTTGTATAGATTCATATCACATTTCTTTATAGAAACTAATTACTAAAGTGGAACAGGACATCTAACCCTAGTATGTCCCCGGATATGGCAATTAGAACACTGCCGGGGGGGGGGGGGGGGGGGGGGGGGGGGGGACTCGTACGCGTGGTCCAACTGTAGAAAGTGCTGGATCTGTAGGAAGCGTATCTTGACCTTATTGACCTTATTTTCGCGCTGGAATTGCTCTAGGCTCTTCTCTATAGCTAATCTCTCTGGAATAGCTAGCTGTTTATTAGAGCGCTTTCACTTTTGACCTTTCTATTTATTTCTAGCGCGATATTTACATATTTTATCCCCGCAAGAATAAGCTTATTAAGTATTAATTTATAATCTTTAATAATCTTATCGAATCGTGTTTCTAGTAAAGATAAAGGACTCTGAGCATGTTCTCTAAGCAGTTTTCTTGGGGCAGATACTTGCTTCTCCAGCTATCTAGTAGTATAGGGCGTTTTAGGTGCTGAATTGGTTAACTGACTGCTTGATAATGTAGGAGTCTTTAATTAGATGACTAACTCACTAAGTACCCTATCTAGATTGAATAGAACTAGACCAGGAGCTGTAAAGCTATTCTGAATATTCTTTACTACAAAGGCACTTTAGCAAGCCTCTGTAAAGATCTTTAGAAAATCAAGCTTATTAATATAATTGATTTTAAGCTTAGCTTTCTCTACTATTAAGCTCCCATATACGCCTTTTAGAGTCTAAAAACAGTCTATATCTAAAGGCTGGAGCTTATTGGAAGAATGCGCTGGCATACAGATAGGAATAATATTATTTTTACTATATATCTAATTAAATGAGATGTAAGATAGCTACTATAGTGTCACAGATTGAATACCGGCCTGTCCGTTGGGAAGGCGCTTAGTGTTTAAGCTAGCCTGGGATGCGAATTCCGATATGTGGAAGAGAAATTGCCCGCGATGGATCACTTGCAATTTCTTTCATAGTGGTGGTCTGATGGTTGCCCATAATCCTCTGTACCTTCGGTTGTTGGAGAAGGCACTGTTTGTCATGGCGCAAGCTGCAGTTGATTAGTTCTGCTTAGAATGGTCGATTATCTTCATAGAAAATTCTCAATACGGGCTTTAACCACAATTCTGAGCCTAATATATGTACGTGTGCGACCCACTCCTTTTTCGGGATAACCCTGTTCAGATACAACCGTGCAAATCAAAGCAAGATGTCAGTGAAATAGGGAAGCTAAATGTAATAAACAGTGACGCACCTAACACTCCAGGTTGCGATATTATGGGGCTTGGAAACTCGGCTTGCTGCTGTGTTTAGCTGCTGGACATTGTTACTTGGTTCTTCTACTTAAGCAACAGCTCAATATACCCTTATATAGGTTCTTAACTCTAAAAATTATCGATCTAATAAATCCTTTAAATTGAGGCCGGCTTTCTCCATTTGGCTATTTCCATCGGTAATGGGGAAGATTCTGAGTGATGCACATGCACAAATTAAATCAAATTAAGATTTGACCCCTTCTTAATCCCAAAAAAAGGTTTCCATCATCTGGTGGCCACAGCAATCATATACTGGGATTTTGAGGCGCATGCCGTTGCTCTCAAGATTCTGCACGGTTCGGACGCTGAGCCCGGTGACTCACACCTGGACTAGTGCATCGAGCAGTATGGTAGTGCCCCTTCAAATAGCCAGGAGAGAAATCATAGGCGTTCTTTGGGTTGGCGGCGATAAAAAAAAATTAAGAATGAAGGCTAACGCAAGATATTTCCAGGGAACATAGATGTTACATCACAATGTTATTATTTAGAAGACTATTTTTTCATATTTCTTTACCTTGCTGGATGATTGCTTGCGAAATCCTGACCAGTTTATGTCGTCGCTAGAGCGCTGTTACTGTGGATATCCAAGGGAAAACTGGATTAATTTGGCACTATTGCTCATGTGTAGCTGTTAGTCATGTTAATGAGGATAAGAGTGAGTAGTCAACGTGTCCTCATCGAGCTATCTAATAATGAGATGTCATGAGCATGAGTGGTTATGTAGCGGGCTATTTGACCGAGGATTTCTTTCCTGCGTTTCGGGATGTGTGTTGGAGTTTAGGCCCTAGGCAAAGTGTGGCGCAGAGAAGGGGTCCTATGTGCTCATTAATTCCGAGCATATGAACTTGGAGCCTTTATCCAGTACATCTCTCCTACCTCATCATTGATTGTCATGAAGAATGATGTTGCCACACCTACTTAAATTGCACTAGACGCCTTCGCCAGAGCCGGGGAGCAGAAGCAATTACACACATTACAGGGACGACATTTTAACCATACGACGGGGCATCCTTCACAATAGACGCCCCAGTTCAGGCCAAGTTCCTGCAAGACAACCTTTTGGAGTAGGAGCCAGCTACTAGCAGAAGACATGTCTCAACCTATTCTTTAGTCCACCAATATTGATCGGATGGTTTTAAGGGAGTCATTGCTGATCATCCACTTCTGAAGCGGGTTTTAACGGTGTTGCTGGTGTATGTTGAGTAAACATTTATCAGAGGTCTTAGTCTAACATCAGCTCGGACCTGATCACTTATCAAGAAATTCTGGTATTCGGAGAGAGGTTTTTATGACGTATTTTTAGGACCTGAACTCAGCATCTGGATCAGCAGGGCATCGGGATGATTTGATGTTACCCCACATTTATGTTGGTTATGGTGGGAAGACTGGAGTAGAATTCGGAAAGGATCATTAATCATCAGCAAACGGAAACGAATGTTTGCTTCCTCTCTTTTCTCATGAAGAAACTCATATTGCAAAATCACCTTTTAAACACGGTCAAAACACCTACCTATTTGAAATTGCTCCTGTACTTTCAGGACATCGCTACCTGTTTTATCCACCTAAATTCTTTTCATAAGATGCCTGGCTGGAGAATTTATCATCCTAGTGGGACCTTCATGGATCCTAAGCACAAAGAGAAGCTAGTAGAGGCCATTATGTCAATGTATACCCGAGTTGACCTTCCGGCATCTATCTTGTCGTCATAATCATTGAGATGCCTCCCAGTACCCTGTACCTATCCGGAGTATCATGCATAAGTTCAGGATAATCTGAAAATAGTCAATTTGCTAATCACATATGATTGGGCAGCACACAAAAGGGGTAAAGCCTTTTGTCCGGCTTACATTCAGCCACATCGCGAGGCACTTTCCTCCAGCTGAGAGCCCTATAAGGACTAATTTCATGAATACAGTCTACGAAACCGTGAAGCCGTATCTCACAGACAAAGGATATGACTGAGACGGATCGAAGGAGTGTGTCTGCGAGGCAGCCGCAGCGGCTCGTCGTTGTTTCCGGTTACTTGGAGCATCCATGGTATCATTCAACTCGAATGATTTGGTGGAAATTGGGAATCGACGTTGTGGTGTGGACGAGACGACGCATGGTATATTGATGTTGATCTCAGTAAACCAGTAAAAATATCTAGATGGAGTTCAACTTGATATGAGTTATGGCTACTATTACGGGTTTGCGATATATAAGAACTTACCTAGGTATAAATAGCAAGGGAATATTATTTATGATTAGAAAAATTATTTCTAGTACAATATACAAGGGGCCTTCTCAACCAGTTACCTTCTGGTCTAGGGCGCGTATGGAGTTCCCGAGACTTTGGTACATCAGTGTTTGTGATTGAGGAGATAACATCAAGCCCCCTAAAATTGATTGTCAATAAGGCGAGAGAGATAGCAGTACAGTGACAGCACTGCCTTTTGAGAGTTGTACCTGGCTAGGACCATCAAACTGCCGAGCGTTGACGTCCATGTATGATTGATCTTCTATAGAGACCCCCCCGCCCCACCCCAAACCTATGGATCAGGCCATAGTGATCTTCCGGAACGCGCGAAAATATAATTATTCATCTCCTCCGGTGGTAATCCGACCTCGGTAGATCTACGGAGTTTGTACTTCGATGGGCCAGGCACTCCGCAAGAGCAACGAGTATACATATATAATCCGTTATTAGAGGTCAGATTTTTGGCTCCAGCTATCTCCTTCCACATACCACCTCCTCCTCCCACTTATTGTCAAACGTCATGACCACACAAAAGGCGGTTATCATTACGGAGCCTAAGAAGATTGGTCTGGTTACCGATCGGCCAATCCCTGCCCTTCAGGATGACTATATTCTCGTCAGGACTGTTAGTGTCGGTTTGAATCCTACTGTAGAAGCCATCGGTAAGGATATCAAGAAGCCGTTCAAGAAGGGCAATTGTGTGTGTGGATTCACTCATGGTGCTAACGCTGTCCAGCCCGAAGATGGTGCCTTTGCTGAGTATATTGTAGCCAAGGGTGACCTACAGATAAAGATTCCCGACAACATGAGTTTCCAGGATGCTGCTACCCTGGGTGTCAGTATCAACACGGTTGGCCAGGCTCTTTACTAAAGTCTGAAGTTGGCCCTGCCTACTGAGCCCATGAAGAAGGCTGCGCCTATTCTAATCTATGGAGGCTCTACTGTAACCGGCACCTTGGCCATTCAGTTTGCCAAGATATCCAGGTATACAGTCCTCATAACCTGCTCTCCTCACAATTTTAACCTTGTTTACTAAATGGATGTAGACATAGCCTTTGACTATAAGGATATCTAATCCGCTGCTGAGATCCGTAACCAGACTAAGAATAACCTAAAGCTTGCTCTAGATTATATTTCTCTTGAAGCCAGCGCCAAGTTCTGCAATAAGGCCATTTTCAGTGAGGGTGGGGAGTACAGTACTCTCCTGGACATGAAGATTGAGTATACAAATGTCAATAACTGCTTTACGCTCGCATACACCACCGCCGGCGAGGCTTTCAACTTTGGTGATATCCAATTCCTGGCTAAGCTGGAAGATCAGGCGTACAGTAAAAAATTTATCATGATTGCCGAGTCACTCCTGCCGGAAGGAAAGGTCAAGGTCCACCCTCCCATGGTTGGCAAGGGTGGTTTAAAGGATGTTATAGAGGAGCTGCAGTTGCTGAAGGAGGACAAGGTTAGCAAGGAGAAACTGGTATACAATATTGCCAAGACTCTGAATATTTAACAGTCGAATGTTGCATAGCTGCAGAATGGAGCAAAGGATGCCCTATATGCAAGTACCATAACCAGATATTCCATAACCAGATATTCCATAACCAGATATTCCATAACCAGATATTCCATAACCAGACATTCCCTAAGATAATGATAACGCCGTCGGTTGACATTCAATCCGAGGGACTACAACTCTGCGCTGCTTGAGTCACTGCGGTGCTGAGTGTTCTATCAGTAATCCTTACCGATCTAGCTCTTTTATGTACAACCGGAGCAGTGACCACTCAATATCACGCATGCGCATGTGCTGACGTCTTCCCAAACCATAGATTTGATTAGTACAATGTCGCGAGTATGGAAGCTATCTGCATTTAGTAGTACTGAAAGGAGTGGTAGTGGGCCGACAGTCTACTAGTGGGCAAAATTTGGAAGTGACCATTAAACCGCCCTCACTGAATGTTGCTCGTGTGTCTCAGCAGATATCTGGAGATTAGGTAGCATTCAGCCGATGCCACAGGTGGTCAACACAAAGAATGGAGGGAACCGTGTAAACAGCCACCCTTAAACCGGACATCTTGTAACTATGCTAAAGAGATGGGCAAGATAGAACCGAAGGGATTGACCGTAAGAAAGCTCAACATACAGTCAGGAGGGGACTGGTTAAAAGGTCTTACTGTCCCCACCAAAAGTATCAGTGTAAAACGCGTCTTCCGCAACCACGCGTTTTTCCTACCTATTTTTTATTTCTTCAACAAATGGCTCCCCGAACGTCTCTAGGGGTAATAAACCCAGATAGGATAAAGGAAACCGAATTAAGTCCCTATTCTAGGGGCTTTTTATGTGGTTTATATCACCGGGGGGCTTCTCAGGCCAAAATTGGGGACGCGTTGCAAATTCCCGCCTCAACCGTTCAGTATATCATCGAACAAAAAGCGCTCCGAACCAACGGGAATTCAGTATATCGAGCAGGCAGGCCTACTGTGCTTGATAAGCATGATAATTGCTGAATTCTAGCCATTATACGCGCAGATCCATTTATCTCCTACGCTGAACTACGCCGCCAAAGTGGGACAACTGTTTCTAATTCTACACTTCTTAGATTGATTAAATCTTCGGGATATGGCCACTGACGCGCTCAAAAAAGGCCTAAATTGAAAGAAACGCATGCTAAGAAGCGTTTAGAATGGGCGTTAGCCCACCAGGATTGGAGTATTGAGCAGTGGTCCCAGATCATTTAGTCGGACGAAGGTTCAGTTGAATTAGGAAAGGGAAAGCGTCAGAAATGGTGCTTTAGACTCAATTAATTGGGCAAGAAATGGAAAAAAAAGTATGTTATCCTATATAGCAAGTCAAAAGGCTTGTCTATCATGATTTGGGCAGCGTTTTGGGGTAGTTCTCACTCTGATATTAATATAATAGCGAGTGATCCTGATTCTCAATGATGTGGCTACTCTGCAGAGAGCTATCTCAAGATTCTGGAAGATAATCTCTATTCTATCAGGGAACCAGGCTTAGAATTCATGCATGATAATGCCCCTATACATACAGCCAACAAGGTTAAATGATGGTTCGAGGATATCGGGATTTCTATTATCGATTGGCCGCCCTACTCACCTGATCTCAACCTGATTGAACACGCCTGGGCAAAGCTAAAAGGAGCGTGCGTGGAATGAGATATCTGACAAATTTTTTGATAGTTTGGTGAGGTCTATGTCCAGGCGTGTTGAGGCAGTTATCCAGGCCAAGGGCTGGTATACTAAGTATTAGTCAGCAGAAAAACAATTTAACCAATAGATTTATTATTTCTTTATATGTATTTTAATTTACTAGTAAATTACTAAGAAAGTGGAAGGATTATGGTGGTTTTAGAAAGCTAGGTCAGTTTGATGATTCGCGCGGGAAAGGCGGAATACACGGAAACTTTTGACGTAGAACTGTAATCTTCTAATGGTCAGTTGTTGGGATCCACCGTCCCTAGATCCACCGTCGGTCTCGGACTCGATCACTCATCGAGAGTACGGTACTTGAAAATCATTTAGAGACTATTATGAGATGTGTATAATCTATTCCGATCCTACTGAGGTACTGATCACTAGCCGCATTTGAACTTGTAGTGCCTCGGGGTACGAATTCCAGATTATTGATATGATGACACTACCCCGCACATATCTTACGGGCAGGTCGAACTGCCACTGGGTGGGGTTAAAATACCGATCACTACCAGCTCTCCAGAGAATAAGTAGCCACGTCCTCCCTGTTTATCGTGAAGAGAATGCATATTACTATATAACAAAGAGATTGCACTCGGCTCGCTATCAAAGCACCTGCCCGCAGGGAAATCATTACACGCTTTCATTTACAAAATCAAATTCATTATGCCAGATTGGAGAATCTACCACCCGGCTGGGACATTCACCGACCCCGGTCATAAAGAGGAACTCTCAGAGGCGATTACATCAATCTATACACGTGCCGGACTGCCAGCATTCTATGTTGTTGTTTTATTCATAGAGATGCCTGCCGGCACTATGTACCGAGCCGGAGTCTCCTGTGTAAGTGCACGAAAGTTTCATTGATCTTTAATTTGCTGATTGTATCTACTTGGATAGTCGGCGAACGGGGTAAAGCCCTTTGTTAGGCTCACATTTAGCCATATTGCGAGGCACTTTCCTCCTGGCGAGAGTCCGGAGAGGACTCGCTTTATGAATACTGTTCACGAGACCTTAAAGCCGCATATTGCAGACAAAGGTTACAATTGGGAGGTCAATGGCGAGGAGCTAGAGCGGGAATTTATGCATATAAATGGCTTTAGGATTCCCCCAACTAGCTCTGAGGATGAGAAGAGGTGGTTCCGTGACAACGAGCCATCTCCTTGGGGGCCTTATCTCACAAACTAGCTTGCGGCTGGTCAAGCAAATGCCTACCTGGTCACGGAAGTTTGGGCAGAACGCAGCTTTCGGACGTCGTACTACTGGATGTACCTCGAAATATCGCCCATAATAGTACTACCCTTTGAATATCAAGGAGCTTAGTGATAGGGGAGAGCCCTGAAGTAGTCCAGCCTGTGGGAGGCTTTGAACCTTTGACGCATGCCCATTAATTTAGATGGTCGCTGTTTATTCTGAGTAAAATGCTTCGACCTACTAAAGCAGACTCTCTGGTATACCTTACACTTTTATCCTCTGGAGCAGTTGTTCTTTGTAAACCCTATTGTAGGCCCCTTTAACGTTAAAGCTGATTAGGCGCAACACCCTTTGGCTGCGCTATACCATGTAGATTTGTTCTTGCAAGAGCAAGAGTGCTTGCTCCGCTGGCTACTGCTTTCAAGCTCCGAAGTGGCTGGTCGGGAGTAAGCCATAAGTCTCTACTACATGAGATATTCTTTCTATAATAACTGATTCCTTACCCAGGGTTGCTAGGAGTGAGATTAGCCTCTATGCTTTGGTAATAGTGTAGTTTTCTTTATTCAGCTTTTTGAGTGGTGTAATCTTCGTATGTCTCTACTGTCTTAGTAACGCGCTTTCTCCTAGCGACACCTGGAATAGCTTAAGGACCCGGTGCTTGACTATAGGCCACGTCATCTTCTAGACTATCGCTGGTAAGCCGTCTTTGCTGGGCGTCTTCCATAATTTCGCCGCCTATAGCTGCCCTCTATGGTGATGGCGGGCATCTCCACTAGTGCTCTTCATAGTCTGATCCCTTCATCGTCAATATTGTCTGGTATGGGTGAGAAGAATTTGGCTAATAATTCTTCTGCTTGTTCTTTATGATTGGTGGTGGTAGTCCCATCTACTCTAGTAAACTGTGGTACCTTCCTAAATGCTGTATCCTCCCCGGACTTTAGATATTAGGCAGCTTTCTATATTATTGTTGTCCGTAAGGAACTTATTCTAGTGCTTTTTCCTTTGTTACCGGATGACATTGTGATATTACTTTGCTGCACTGTCCGCCGTCTTTTCTAGATGTGGCATGTTTCGTCCCGCCCGTCACTCAGAGTAAGTGTGATTTCTCTAGTATGTGTATATATAGCGGAGCTGGGTTAAGTTAGTAGTCCACCATCGCTTTGCGTGTGGTGACGGTTTGGCCTTTAGAGTCAAGGCATGCACTGCTTCCCACACCGCAGTTATTAGTCAGTTGGTTTTCTGCTGTACCGTACCTTCTGATGGGGTGGCAGCCAGAGTTCTTATAATTCTGGCATTGATCTCCTTTTATAGCGCATTTTTTAAGCAGAAGACGCTCCTGCTGTCTTAAGACTGGCCATGGGACATCAAACACGGTCTCGATTGTGCAGTGGTCCGACCCATGGTCTGTCCCATGAATTGCACACTTGGCCATGGAGTCTGCCAGGTTCTCAGAGGCAAGGACGAGGTCAATAGTGGGCTCACAGTCTCCTCCTTGTCCTTGGCCGTGCCACATCTTTGTGCCTAGGTTAAGTAGACTGTTGAGAGCAAACTCATTCATAAGGTCAATAATTAGGTCCACTTCGCCCTGTCGTGCTAACAACATGTCTTCTCCCCCCAGAGTTGGTCATGACAGTTAAAGTCTCCCACAATCATGACTTCTATTACTATGCCTATATCCCGCCGAACCTTTGTGATTGCTTTACGTAGATGATTGCATATGTCGCACAAAGCTAGGGCATCCCCTCCCTCTATGTAAGCTGATGCTATGAAAATTAGCCGCTTAGGGAGTCGGATAACCGCTGCTGTCAGATCTAGGGACTCTATTAACACTTACTCTGCTTCCACATCCTTATTAACCCAGAGTATACTTTGAATTGCCCATCTGCCTTCCCTCTATGTAGACGGCACCATCTTCGTCCATTTGTGATGTCCCATCAGGGTTGTTAAGAGCCGGCCTTGAATCTTCCTCGCTTAGGGTTCCTGAATTGCTAATATAATAGCGTCCTGGATTTTATTATCATTCATTAAGCTATTATGTACTGCGCCCTGTTTCCTCACATTTAGTTAGATTATTCGGAATATCTTATTTATAACGCATTAGGTAAAGCTTCTGATAGTTTTTACTATTTGATTCATGTAGGCTGCTGTATAGGATGCACTTCAGGATTAATTTGTCGCAGTCACTGTATTAGTGGCCTTCTATGGCGCATTTTGCGTACCTCTGAGCATTCTTACATTAGAATGCCTTATAGCCAATCTCTTGGCAGTTGTAGCATTGCGTCGGTCATGGGCGACGTTCAAAGACGCTAGTTGTGCCAGATTCCCCTCCGGCATGAAAGCATCCGTCGGTCAGGAGCCTCCGTGCATTAGTACCTTTGGTCAGGTAAACAACTATTGACCTATAGGCCTTCGGACTTTCCTTACTGCTAAGCCAGTTCATCTTAGTAATAGTAGTGTCGTTCTCCTCACTGAAGGCAGCAGTGGCTCCTACTCGGGTATTATTATTTTTTGTCAGGATGAGGAGTTGATGTACTGGCTAGTACTGAACATGTCCAATAGGATCAGATGACTGATTGAGGTTGTTGAGATCGGTTGAGCGATCTCAGGGGTCTATATAATCGAACTATGGCGTGTTATGATGCCGTGGGGTCCACCCACGACTTATCGGGCCGATAGTGGGTCCGCTTCAAGGCTCTGAGAATCTGAGAAGTCTTACCTGAGTCCTGGCATCAGAAGTTAATTAATACGGATTTGGCTCCTTCAAATCCGTGCAAACCTGGGCATCACAAGACCCAGTACTCTGTTCTAAGGTACTACGGAAGTAAGGAGCTCAAATTTATAAGAGTAGTTGCACCTTCTCCAAAGACAGAATCTCATTTGGATCACAGACTACTGTATTATCTTGCTTCGTGGCCACATGAGCTGCAGCAGAGTGGTTTCGTCTGCCCATAGGCTAACAGGACTCTCAATGGCTAGTTGTCCTGCACAAGTCCAGTGCGCACCCTTAACTCTAGCGCAGCCACTATGCGGTGGAAGTATCTGTAGCTCTTTTCTGTTGTGATTCAGAGGAAGGTTGATTGTTGTTCATTCACATCTGAAAACTTGAGGGTTTATATACAAGGCGAAGACCAGATTAATTAGAAATCAATCTTATTTAATCCAGAATAAATTCCATATACGAAGCTCTATTGTGTACCAGATCAAGCCTCGATTCACAACACAGCGAGGTCCTGCCGAGTTCCAGCCTATGGTTCGTACAAGGCCTATAGAGCCCATAACACAATTGTGATCTTGATAATAATATCATCCAGATATTCTAGCACCGGCCTCTAACCCTCCTGCACCTTAAACCTGGCTAGCATAATGAGGATCATCTTAACAAAGTCGAGTGATACAACAATACCACGAGGTAACTAGGTTAAGCACATCGTTTAATATACTATAAAAAGTACGAACGGTCATGAGCCCGCTATCTGCTCAGTACTACAATACAGTACCCTACACGACTACTTGCCTCTTGCGGGGGAATCGGGGATGTCATGAATCCTCAACTCTCATTTCTCGAACAAACTTCGTAGACAGGCATCTATCCGAAATCCATAGACCGTGTTTACTGGGGGATTTGTAGTGAATAGACTGGGCAAGAGTGACATCCACTAACACTTCCGTCAGCCAAAGATTGCCCTATGAGCACGGTCATGGAGTTGCCGGCGCACTAGCGCGGTAACCTCTCAAGTTGTTCGATAAGACTTAAAGTAGAGAGAGAAAGAACTATTCTTTTTCCAATGTAATTAATTTTCTTATCTCTACGCGTTATTTGCGCGTCCGACACGTGGAAAGGGGAAAAAAAAAAAGCAAAGAGAATCTACTCCTTGGCCTGGCAGGTTCCCGAAATTAATCTATCTAGATACGGGTCCGTTAGGCGGTCGGGGCACGCAGGAATACGGAATGTATACCAATTAGCGGGCGAGAAAAGGCATCGCACCTGCGAAGCCATTAAGCTTTGGGAATAGGGTTGCTTCCTGGTTAACAATTTGCGTGTCTGGCCTAGAAACAACTGGTTCGATGACCCTATCAGACTAGGGCTTTATAAGCGAACCTGAAGATGACTATCGTACCTCCGCAAGACGAATCCATTATGCACTGCGCCAGCCAGATAGAGTCAAAGGTACACTATAAAGTGGTCTATAACCGGGTAGAAAGTTCGGTCTTCAAGAATTCATTGCTGCGTAGTAGGCATAGTTATAACCGAACTGTATTTCACCTGCTTGCGAGGGATCAAAGTAAATAAGCCCTCTATCAATAGTACAGAGATTCGAGTCTGAAAGTTTCCTTAATATCGACAAACATCTTCATCCATAAATTCCGCGGCTGGAAAAGCCCAACCAAGTCAATGTAATAAATCGCGGGTGTTGATTTTTCCAATCCAAAAGAGTACGACTCTCCACTGCCTGCATCTCTGTGGTGACCCAGGCATCCAGCTCAAAGGACTTCATCACTCTGGAATGATAACCTGGGTTGACGCAATTAGTTTCCAATCCTTGAGCGCAGCATCACGATGCTCCGCTGCGGTTGCTGCATAGTCATCGCTGCCGAGCGTATTGCGGAAGGTCTCGATGTTCCTGTATTTGACCAACACCACCGCGTCCCATTTTTCACCGTCTTCACCAACAATCTTTAATGCTGGAAGCCCAAGATAGATCAATTCAAAGCCCCCAGCTTCGGTTGCAAGTCTTCGAAATTCAGTCACATATCTGGTAACCCAGGCCTCCTGACCACTGCAGGGAGAATGTTTGCTTCCTTTCGGATATTGCGCTTGGTCATAGAAACGGAGAAGGTTGAGCATAAAGATAGGCTTATTGGGAAGATCCGCGGGTATATTATCAAGAAGATGCTCCCACTTTGCCATTCTGAATCGGACAACAAATAAGCAGACCCAAATATTCGGCTGGTTATGATTATAATGGAATCTAAAAAAGGAAGCCTTTTAACATAATAGCGATCTCATATCCTCCTGTGACACAAGAGCTTGATATATATCTCCATCAAATCACTAACCCGTTCAGATTTGTCCACTGAATCTTGAAATGAGTTCAGTCCTTAGACTTGCACACGATCACTAATCCACCCGGTCCGGTATCTTGAGGACAAGAAAGCTTTTAACCTACTTAAATTTATCATGATTAGTGACGTACTCCACCTATTTAGATCACTGTGACAGATGCACGTTAAGATGTGGATCCATAGTTTCTAATGGGACTCAAACGGAGAAACATAATTGGTTTCTCAGGGCACCGGATTAATAATCATGCCGAGATGAGAGCCTGGGCTTGCCGACTTTTCTAGGAAGGTTGTTCGATGCCTACGTCTTTGAGGATAGGGATTCCTACGGATGGTTTGAATGAGACTGATTTGATCGGAGGATCAAATAATCAACAGGACTGATTCATCTCATGCACAGCGCAGAGAAGGATTAATAAACAAAGTTAAACCTTTTCCGGACCTTAGTCATGAAGTGCAGATCTTTCTCCAGGGTTAGCCTAACCTTGTTCTCTTTATACACTGGCGAGAGTGGTAAATCAGTGACCTAAGTAAAGTATAAATCTTCACGTGAGCCCTGCTGCTGGACAGACAGAAGGATGCCAAGTTATCTTAATCCAACGGCTTATTTAAAATATTCCTATTATCTTTGAACATGGCTAGTATCGGCACTGGCTCTCACCCCTATGAAGGGTTTGTGGAGAACGATGGTGATCGAATCCATTATCGCGCTGCAGGTTAGGGACCTTTATTACTTCTCTTCCACGGCTTTCCTGACAACGGGGAGACATTCAAGGGCCAGATGACGGAATTCTCGAAGAAATATTGTGTTGTATGCCCAACATTGCGGGGATTCCCCCCGAGCGACGTGCTGGATGACGTGGACGCCTATGATTTGTCACATATCGTCAGTGACCTGGTTGCAATCATCGGCCACTTCAAGGCTGAAAAGGCCATCATTGGAGATCATGATTTTGGCAGAGCAGCAATCCAGATGCTGGCAATGATGGCACCAGGCCGTATTGCTGGGTTGATCCTTCTCAACACGCCTATTCTGCCAAACTTCTATGATCTCGTGAATTTCGACGAAGAGCAGCAGAAAATGTCGGAGTATACAATAAAATTCATCCAGTATCAACCAGGTGATGAAAAGGATGAGGCCGATGTCGTGAAATTCATAAGAGATCCTGCGCGTCGGCAAGAAATACAGGAGTATATGCACAGCTCTCCAATGCATGAAATGTTCGCTCACTACAAAAAGAACTACCCCGGTCTTCCGTATGGTCGAAAGGTTGATACCTCCCACATGCGTTACCAAGTTCCGACACTTATAGTCTGGGGGGTTGAAGACGAATACTTCTCCCCCAGGTTTCTTGATCGAATCCCACAGCTTTTCTTGCCCCGACCCGACTCGTTACGTTGCCTGGAATAGGACATTGGCCGTTTCAAGAACAGAAGGAGAAAGTCAACCAAGAGATCTGGTCTTGGCTTAACGGCCTAAAGCTCGATTGAACCTTTTTTGTTTTTGTTACAGGAGAGACAGGATCGGATTATTGTGGTGTGTATGTGAGCTGGACAATGGAGGATCCCAGATGTTTATTTTCTTCCATACTGCAAACAGTTCCTATGCTTGAAGTTGGACCAGCCAGACTGATGGCGACCTGAAATATGAGCAGAGCCAACGATTTGTTAGGGTTCTAGAATGTATCTTATCTGAAGATGGTAATCTAGACAAACTTGAACCACGATAGACTGTCTTGTTTATGATGTCGATGACAACCCTGCCGACGTGCTGTCCACTCGAAATTCGCCGATACGCCTCCGCAAATGGATGGATACTTATCAACTATCAATAATCGGCCTCACTTGGTGCCATGCTTTGAGCAGGGCTTCGAAACTCCTCGGGAGACCGGTGGTTGAAGCTCCGACGATAAGGGATCTGTAATGCATATATACCTGGGGTGACACCACTGAGGGCGCTTGTCAATCCATCCAAGGAAATCTCGCCACCAATTTTAGTCGCTGCTCCTCGAGCTCATCATCGATATACTTCCTACTTTGATAACATTCGCGGGCGAAGTTCCCAATTTCATCCTCGGTAATGTTCGATGAGCAGCCCCCAGACTCGAGATGGATCAGGACTCCGGAGAAAGATTTGAAGGTCTTGTAGCAGCCGCAGCATTCCATGGTTCGCGGTTGATGTTTCTGTTGATGCTGGAGAGACAGGTCAGCATCGAACACACAATATTAATCGGCTACCTCGTACCATTTCTAAGTTGTTCTTGTTCGCAAAGTATCTCTCACACTTGACGCACAAGTGATGTTGTCAACGTCATGCTCTCGAAGTTTCTCAGCGGACTGATGCTAAAGGTTGCAGTCTAAGCAAAGGTGATGATATCCCGTCAAGAGGGTCCCAAGCTCGTCAAGGGTTTCGAAATCTCGTGACGGCGAACATCGTAAGCAAACGTTATGTCTGCCAGACGCTTTGAGATGCGCATCTTCGATGCCGTTGAAATAAAGACTCGACAGCACCTCTCACACCACTCGTCTCGGGATGTGTTCCTGCAGTGTGCGTAGAGGAAGCCTTTGGAAGCAAAAACCCTCTCACAGAGAGTACATTCATAGTCTATCTCATCGAAAGTAAGATATGGGCCAAGTTCCATCCTTTGGATTAATAGTGAAGTGGTTAAATGGAGCTGGGTGAGAAAAAAAAGCGGGATCCCCCAACTGACTGACTACCCAGGTGATGCCAACCTTTTGACTCAGGTGCCAACTAACCATAGTTCATTGGCCTGTCGGGCACACCCGCTGCGGAGGCGATTGCCGCAGGCGCTATGACGTGAGCCAATAAAGGCTACTTTGATGCTCAGCTGACGGCCGCACCTGGTAGAATGCACCATAATCCATGTCGCCGACAGTCAGACGCCTTCTTCTTCTCCAATGTGCCTCAAAACGACAGCAAACCGAAATCCCTTGGTCCATTGCAATATTCCTGCGGTTGCTGGGCTGACCGCCACCATGCTTCCGTAGCGGTAATGTGCTGATACGCCTACAGTCCTTTTGCCTGTGGATAGTCACTAAGTGGAGCGGCGAGCCTTGAATCTCACAGCTCAACCGAATCCACCCATTCTGCCCAACTCCAAGGCAGTCAGCTTACTCTAGCGTAAAATCGTAGGGTCGCAGATACGAGAAAGGTTGCCCCTCCATGGCAAGGCTGTCATAGATAAATGTAATGGCACAGGATTGAGGACAGCAACGTGCCTACATCACTTCCATCCCAAATGTGGAACTTGGATGGCTCTCTTTAAATGATTCAAGTTCATTCCATACCTTCACTGCTAATCACGTTTTCACGGAAATGGAGCATGCCGTGTCTTTGTCGCACCCAGAGCCTGCAGTTCTGCCCTCACAAGCGTCCTCAAGTGGCTTCCAATCTAGTCATCAAAGCCCTAAGTCAAATACCTCGCGTCGATGGGTTCGGCGGTATAAGCCTGATCCGCACTTATCAATCCTACCGGTGCCTCTTCCTCAAAGCAGCGAAAGTAAAACGACCCTACGAAGACCTAGACAACAATTTGTGGAGTACTTTACCATGAGACGGACAGATACAAACAGTCGATCATGCATTTTTATTTGTTGGGCCCAGGGCAACTTGGCGAGAGTTATGGATGTCCCTTTCATTTTAGAGCTGAAAGACGAAAAGAAAGTCTTTGAGCGGTTAAGAAAGAACTTTATCCGGAGAAGGGGTTACCTGAGGACCTTTTTTTATTCCGCATACCCAAGCAAGCAAAGGCAAGTTTCCAGATTGTCACCTTGTATTTCTTCTAACTGCGTGGATAGATACATCCTCTCGGTTACCCAGATATGGTGCAAAAGTGCTTCATTGTGACGCTGCGTAGATTTGAGGCCTGCAAACAGCGATCGAAGATTCTGGGAGAACTAGAGTCATTGAGAAATGTTCTCCCTGATGATGAATACCCTTGCTACCCATCGGACGGATCCGAGTTGAGACACTTCATCCACCTGAATGATTGCCTCGCCCATGTGGGCGAAACATGCCGTTATGAAGACATTGACCACCTAGAGGGACACCTTATCGATATTGAAAATATTCCATCTATTCTAGAAAAAGTGTTTGTGAATCCTGAACTAGCTGTTGGTCAAAATTTACCGAAGAGGGACGTATTCTCTCTGGAGAATTCTTCTAGCTACATCAATATCTACGAGTGAGTATACATTTCTGGTATTTCTTTACTTAAGCTCATGAATTATAAGGTTCTTACGGCCGGAAAATCACTACCGCGGGTTTGCATACCTTGAGCTGAACGCAATATTCATCAGAGAAGAAAAGAGACTATCCAGAATTACTCTCTTTGTTGTTATTACTACCGCTTTATTGACTTACACGGGTAGCAGAGTATTCAATAGCTGGGAAGCTGGTGTTGGTCTTGGGGCACTATATACATCTTTGATAACCTTACGGGTCATGTTGGATGAGTGACATCTGTCGTGGTTGGAATTCTACATTCTGTCTACTTCTGCGTCTCCTTATGAGCGCTGCTGGTTGAAAGAGATGCTGTCTTTACCATACTTCCATAGCTTTACATAGACAACGAGGAACCCTAAATTTATGAAAGTTATCAGTCACAAAATATTTATCTCTGCACGCTGTACATGACCTGGCCAAGCCTTCCCAATGACCCATCCTCTCCAAGTGCGGGAGTATAGTCGTTCCTCACCAACAGGTTCGAATAGTTTGCTGTCAATGCATATTTCATTTGCGTGGTCGTCTGGATCAAGTGTATGTTGACCCTGCCTATTCTCCTGTTCCCATAAACCAAGCGCGACAATGTGGAGCGGCACAAGGTTCTTAGATTCTCACAGTGATCCTTGCGATTTTTCGTGCATGCCTCCTTGCCTTGGGCAAAAAAATTGACGACTTGTGATACTACTGTGGTTGACCCCGGCAGTTTTGTTAGTATGTTTTTTATTTACATGCTATACAGGGACCATGTAATTGTTGTATTGGTTTCTGGCCAATAACTTGCTCGATCTCCTGAATAGTTAAGACTTCTACCTATCAGAGCAGGCAGTCATTTATTTAAAAAGCCTCGTTAACTATTATGGGATAGCTAACAAAACCACCGGGGTCAACCACAGTATATATCATCTTAACCCGGCCCAAACCCAACGGGCTGGGCTGAACAACCTCAAAAACCCGGCCCAACCCGCGGGCCTAACAAGTCTAGCGGCCAGTAAGAAGAATATTAGCCATTTCTTGTGCATCTGATAGCTTAGGGGGCGCTCCATGTTGATCTAGCGATAGAATCCATTATACAAGTGATCCCTCTTTATTTTCGGTTATTTTATGACTGTTGGCACGTGTTTCTGAGCGCGAAGTCCTTCCACTAAGTTAATGACATAGAGTTTCATGTCAAACATCGAAAGTACGCGCAGCTTCATAAATACTGTGAATTTCTTGCTTTTTTAAAGCAGAGGCAGCAAGCAGGATTCTTCCTTTCTGTTCTGCTAATTTTCTTGAATTTTGACGCGCTTTTGGAGACATGGTTGGTAGTTGAACTGGGTGAGTTTTCGACCGCGGTCAAAACGCGTGAGGTGTCACGCTCGCTAGTGAAATACATTCATTATATCATATGTAGACTTTGCGGGAAACTGCACCAGCCTACGTCTGCAGTGTCCCGTATTCTACCCGCAATGGCCCGTAGAGTGTAAGGGACAACCTATATATAGAATGCACTGATATTCTCATGGAGGCTCATCACCAATGGTTGGTCTATCTGTCACTGCTAATGCCTCTCGTAGCATCCGCTCGATTGTTTCTAGACCCCCAACTTCTGCTAAACCAAGCGGCGTGCTGCATGCGTCGAAGGAAGTAATACCAGGATCAACACCAGCATCTAATAGAGACTGGACGGTGTTTTCATGTTCGTTGTTAACCGCCCAATGCAGAGCCGTCCAGCCATTACAATCCTGGAGATTCCTTATTTCACTGTATCCCAAGAGAACTTTGGCAATTTCATCCTCGCCCTCCTGGGCAGCAAGATGCAATGCTGTTTTTCCCATGTTATCCCGGGCAGAGATATCAGCCTCTGTATTGAGAAGAAGTTCGAGAATTTTAGTTTGACTCCCCAGAACGGCCCGGTGCAACGCTGTATATCCGCTTGTATCTTTGAAAGACAGATCAATGCCATGTGTGATGAGTAGTTGAACCATCAATTCGTGCCCAGCTTCTGCAACCTCTAAAAAGGCTTCCTTGACGGTCTCGTCAAGGGTGGTACCAAAATCAAGAAGCATTTTTGCGATCATCACATGTCCATGGAGTGCTGCATAGTAAAGCGGAGTCTGACCATCGATGTCTCTGACGTCTGATCTGACTTTGATACTCAGCAATTTTCTTACCATATCCTCATGTCCTTCGCCAGCTGCATAATGCAGAGCTGTGCGAAGTTTATTGTCGGTGAAATGTGGATTGCTGCCCCGTTGGATAAGCAATTGGAAGACAGCTTCATGACCTTTCTGAGCGGCTAAGTGCAGCGCTGATTCCCCATGTTCATTTTGAATCTGGTCGAGGGCTCCGGCTTTCAATAAAGCTGTCGTTATACCAACATGGCCCTCGTTAGCCGCCCAATGTAGCGGAGTCCACCCTGTATGGCTGCGAGCATGGGTATCAGCTTTGTGATTTAGCAAAGTAGGGACCATCTCTTCATGCCCTTTTGCTGCCCAGTGTAAGGGGGTTTGATTCTTGTCATTTGCGCTATCGACATGCGCTCCAGCTTCTATCAGCATTTCAGCAATTGTTGCTTTCCCTGAAAGGACAGCGAAGTGTAGTGGCGTGTTCCTATCCTCATCTGGAATTGAAGGACCGCTTCCGGCCCCTAGAAGCAGCCGCACGGCTCCAACCTGGCCGGCGCCACTGGCTTGGAGAAGAGGAGTTTTTCCATCTAAACTTTGAGCAGACACATTTGCCCCAGATTTTAGAAGAAGCTCAACAATGTCAACGAAACCCATTAAAGATGCCTGGTGCAATGGCGTAGCATTTTCGTGACCTTGCAGAGAAGGGTCTGCTCCCTTATTTAGAAGCTCCTGTACGATAGCAAAATACCCGTTGCCGGCAGCAAGGTGCAGTGGTGAGTCGCCTATTTCATCTTGAATGACGACGGTTGCTCCAGCACAAAGCAGCGCCCGAACTATCTCAAGATGCCCTTCCGAAACAGCCAAATGAAGAGGCGTATGACCATGGGCATCCTTGACATCAATAGGAGCTCCGTGGCTTAGTAACATCTCTGCAATCTTGCTATATCCCTTGATAGCAGCTGCATGTAGAGTCGTTCTTTGAGTCTGGCCGATCCTGACATCCGTAATGGTAGCTCCTTTATTCAAAAGAACCTCCACAACGCGATCATATCCTGTTATAATGGCATAATCCAGTGGAGTAAGTCCGCTCTTATGACGTGCATTAATATCAGCTCCCACATCAATGAGTAAAGACACCACATCGCAGTGACCGTAAGCAGCGGCCCAGTGCAATGGCGTGTATCCCTCATCATCAGCGGCGCAGGGATCGGCTCCTCCCTCTAGATAATGCCGGACAATGCTTACATGTCCGCATGTAACTGCAGAAAACAATATCGTTCGTCCATGTTCGCGGAAACTAGATGAGTACGCTGAGACAGCGAGCTGGGCGAACCCCTCCGCGGCTTGCGCGAGAGCCACGACATCCGAGGGTTCCAAATACTCAAACAGTTCCAGAATAATCTCTGGGGGAAGTGGTAGTCCCCACCAGCGGTCCATGTTGTTTGTTGTCGCCAGTGAGAGTAAGAATAAGGAAAAGTTGAGTCGAAGTTGCCAGTGGCCCTCCCCTATCTTGGCAGAATACGAGAATTAGACCCATCACGTGCGGAAGAGACACTGTGTGCCAAAAGGGAACACAGGCCGGGTAGAAAGTCTTAGGATATTTTTCCTAAACATATTTTCTTTCAAAGTAGCCTGAATCGATGTTGAAGAGCAATGGTAGATCTGATATCGAACAGTTATAACTGCATGCCTACTTCGATTGTTTGCATGTCACCTGACTCCTTCTGCAGCCAATCACTGTTCTTCTCGCTCCATAGCTGATGCCATACAAAATTTCTCATTCCTAACAGGCGAATTACAACATCAATGACACCACCCAACCCGGGTTACTTCCCTGGTGGCCCACGGGTCAACGCCAAGACAAAAAATACTGTAAATATATTATTTACCTATAGTAATATAAATAAACTACTGTATTATAAGACTGTATTATATAAAGAATGTAAATTATTACTACAGTAGGAAGAGATTTACAGCTGTGGGTCCCTGCAGGTGGTTTATATATATATATCTTGACCCATGGGTGGTTTGTATATCATCTTAACCCGGCCCAAACCCAACGGGCTGGGTTGAACAACCTCAAAAACCCGGCCCAACCCGCGAGCCTAACAAGTCTAGTGTATGGTAGTAGATCATTCAATAGAAACCCAGTCCTCTGCTCCTGCCACCTGCGGCGCCGTAGCATGCTATTCCCCCTACTACCTGCGGCTCTCTGAGCTGCAATTAACAAGTACCGCATATCATTCAAACCTTGGATTAGGTTGTACCATCAGAACCATTATTGTTCACAGTCACGGAGTCATATCGGATTCATTGTTCAGGTTTAGTTCTCGCTACGCAAGTACATCTAACTACTCACAGAGCTCCTGCCCGAATACCCAGGCGTAACACTACACACTGAATAAAGTGCTTAATATCTAAAACCTCCATCTACCAATAGGCCCAGGAAAGGCACTGATTGAAAATTGTATAGGGATTACTACTAGAACACTAGGAATCCTGTATATCTATAATTCTACATTATCACATGTCTAGGGAATCACTACCTATCTCGGAATTCCATTCTTAATAGTTGATATCACAGGATGATCCGGTAGAACTGCTTGACCTGTATGATCTAAATCCAGATCTGCCAATTGAATGGCCTTATCTACTAGAACATCTGATTATACAAGCCCGTGGAAGACCTAGGGATTCTAGAAATCGAGAGATCTCAGGCTTCGAGCGGACCGAACAAGCACTCCAGCAGGCAGGCACTCAGGCAGATACTCAGGCAGATACTCAGGCAGGGAGTAATGCTATCATACTAGAAGATCTTTCCTAAATAGGAAAGGCTAAAGGCGTCAAAGCCAACGAGTAGGCTTATTTACAGTACTACGAGTACAATGTATATTGACTTCCTATTTTAGTTTAGCGCGAGGTCCAAATAACAACTCCCTATATTTATGTTATATGGGTCGGCTGACCCACTTTGGTTAGCCGAACTCATTAGTAAAGGTCGGCTGACCTGTAGTCACGGTTCAACTTGACATTCTTCTTGGAACTCAATACTTTGGAAATAGTTTTGGTGCATTTGACCCCGAGAGACGAAATTAACATCTACCCTTAGCAATTTCTATGGATTCA